TTCACGCTGCTTAAAAATGTAGGTACTTTTGTACAGTTTAAGTTTTTATTTTTGTGCTGTTGCTGGTTTTAGTTAGAAACCTTGAGCTCATCTGTTAGTCTTTGTGTGATTCATTCATCTCATTTGAGATATTAAAAAAATGCACATGTTCATGAACATCCGAAATAGTTGATGAAGGACGATGAAGGATTTGGGAGGGCCGATCCTCCCTCACATAAATGGAAGCTCCCTGCAGACAGCAGCTGGTATCCGTTCCACACCAGCAGCGATCTGTCTCATCCCAGTGCAGGAAACTTTCCAATCAAGGCCAGATTACATACTTTAATGTTTCCATTTTCTCATTGTCACTGTGGACATGTTCACACTTCAGGTTTTGGGGATGACGACCACATTTAAAGGCATGTTATTGCTCCTTGTGTGTAAAGAATACAGGAATTGCTCCCACAAATTTTTTTTTTCTGTGAAATTTTTTTTTTTTTTCTGTGAAAAATTTTTTTTTCTGTAAAATTTTTTTTTTTTTTAATGCAATTCAAAAAACATTTGAATGAAATGAAATGTAAAATGCTGTACAACGAACTTGAATACAGCTCTTCTGTGATGAAGATTTCTGAATTAGGCGAGTATAAAGTCAAAAATGACTCTGTGGCTCAAGTGTGCTGATATATTTCAGTAAAAAAAAAATTCAGGAAATGAAAATCCTTGTTTGGAGGAAACTATTATTATTATTTCTTAAAGGGACAGTTCACTTTGAAATTAATGTTTGATATGTTTTAGCTTACAGTACATCAAGGGCATCCAAGATGTAGGTGTCTTTGTTTCCGCAGTAGTTTCAATTTTGATATTTTTAGGTCAAACCGTTCTTGTTTGTCAGTCATAAACAGTATAATGCAGGTCTATGGTCACCACCTCAAAGAGCATGCACAGAGAAGTCCAAATTAAACATGATTTATTGACTTGTAAATGTAAGTACACATTGATGACCTAAGACACGAAATGAGCGGTTTGTGTGAGAAAACGAACATTATTTATATCGTTTTTACCTCTTCTGCGGGTGCTTCGGGAGTGATCTCTCGGGCGGTTGCGAAAAAAAAAATCAACGTTGCCTGTTCCATTGCGATTTCCTGTATATCTAAATATTTTTAGATCTTCACAGTGAAAGGTAACGCTTCCGAAATCTCGGTGTAAACAATGAGTGACGTACACGCACGACACATCACTTTCCCCCTTTAAGGGAAAAAAAAGCAGTTTTGTTAAAGGGATAGATCAGATAAAATGTTTAATTATGTCATTTACTCTCCCTCAAGTTTTTCCAAGTTTTACCTTTTCCTCTGCTTTACACAAAAAGAAGATATTTTGAAGAATATCGGTTGATGGACTCAATTGACTCCCCCCCCCCCCCTCCAAACTATGGAAGTCAATGGAGTCCATCAACTGTTTCCTTCAAAATATATACTTTTGTGTTCAGTAGAAGAAAACAAATGTATACAGGTTTTGAACGACTTGAGAGTGAGTAAATGATGACCGAATTTTAATTTTGGGGTGAACTAACCCTTTCAAATATTTGAAAATCTTTTATGTGGTGTGACCAAAAGAAAAAGCCATGTGGTGCACCAAAACATGTAGGACAAAAACTGAAAAAGGTTTCATCAAGAGAACCAAGAAGTCTCTTGTGAAACTGAAATGGACCTTTTTATGACATGGCATGCTTAGTTTAGATTAAAAATGCCTCTAAAATGTAGAGGAAATTTACTAAAGTTTGTTAACTAAATTTCCGTGTGCTCTGAGCCTTCAAGCGTCAGCAGAATGCCACTGGAGCCTTCGGAAACAAAAAATCCTGCATCTTTTTCTTTGATTTCCTGTCTAGTTGGCTTGTATTTGCGAGTGTTTGTGCGTCCATACACAACTGTACGTGTGCATTCCTTCCGGGCGCTTGGACGGCACCATTGTGTCGCTGGGCAGAAGGCAGGAAGCAGGGCACGCTGAGGAGACAAATTTTGGGGAATTCTGTGTTCTTGGAGGACATGTGGAGGAAAAAGCTTGTGGATGTCAATAGAAGCTGATTATTTTTAGCGCCGGTTGCTACTTAACAATTCATTCTTGGATTCCCGAGTGCTAAAATAACTGTCCGTAGATACCAAGTGGAAGATTGTTGGAAAGTAGCGTTGTCACTTTAACAAAATCAACAGTCGATCCCAATACTAGTTCAATTAAATTATTATTGATGCCAAGGCAAAAACGACTATGCTTTTGATTATACCCATGAGATCTCATAACTTCACTGGTAATTGGTGTGAATTTTTTTTATGAGAGATTCATGCAGATTTAACAATTTTACAGTTTTGTTCAAGCATTTTAAAACGGCTTGTAACCTCGTAGCTTGGTAAGCCAAAAAGTGTCGTATTTCTTTCCATGAAAACTGATTTAATCTGTTTCACAAGATGTAAATGTATGTCCTAAAGAATTTGTATGCTGGCAGTCTCACAATTGAGTTGATTATTATTACTTATGTCATTTGTGTTTGAGAGAGTTTACACACACAGGGAATTAAGTTTGCCCAAAATGTGCTTTTGATTTCGACACGTTGACAGTCACACAGAGAATGTTTGGCTCATATCGCTGTGAGTGATCCATTCTTTTGAAAAGAGCTGCAAAGCCAAATCCTTAAAGCTGCAGTCCGCAGTTTTTTTCTCTTTGTCGCCATCTCTGTTCGAAATCTGCAATTGCAGTCATTCGTGGGATTCAACTTTACTTGAGTTGTACTTCGACACATCACAGGGTGGATGAACACAATGTTTGATGATACTGTGAGGCTGTCAGTCACCATGCCGGTGTGGATACTGGCATTCACAATCACAGATTATTATTTTCGGAAATATGACCAACATAAGAATTTTCACCGGAAAATGTCATTTTGTTCTAGTTCTGACATTGCAGTAAATCCCGCTGATTAAATCTAACAATCGCTTATAAGTTATCATATCACGTAAAAACGTGCAAATAATACTTTGTTCTGAAACTGTTAAAGGGATAGTTCACTTTGAAATCAATTTTTGGTATGTTTTAGCTTACCTCAAGGGCATCCAAGATGTATCTTTGTTTCCGCAGTATTTTCAATTTTGATATTTTTAGGTCAAACCGTTCTTGTCTGTCAGTTATAATGCAGGTCTATGGTCACCACCTCAAAGAGCATGCACAGAAACAGTCCAAATTAAACTTAAATGACTCGTAAATGTAAGTACACATTGATGGCCTAAGACACGAAACGAGCGGTTTGTGTGAGAGAACAAATCCCAGTCACATCCAAGTGATCTGAGGGTGCGAACGCTTTGTGGCTGCGATTACAAGAGGTAAAAACGATATAAATACTGTTCGTTTTCTCGCACAAACTGCTCGTTTCGTGTCTTAGGCCATCAATGTGTATTTACATTTACGAGTCGATAAATCATGTTTAATTTGGACTTCTCTGTGCATGCTCTTTGAGGTGGTGACCATAGACCTCCATTATATGACTGATAGACAAGAACGGTTTGACCTAAAAATATCAAAATTGAAACTACTGTGGAAACAAAGACACCTACATCTTGGATGCCCTTGAGGTAAGCTAAAGCATACCAAATTAATATCAAAGTGAACTATCCCTTTAATTTTAACAACAATTTTAACATATTATCCTTGTTTTTTCGCATGGTCCGGTTGCAGTCTTTTTTTTTCTGTAGCCACTCTGAAGTCCGAACAAAGTCATTTTACGGGTGAATCTTTTGTCACTGGAGATTGTCGTTTGAACCTTTCTGGGTCCGCCATCAAATTGATAAGTTTAATTATATCAAGTGCAGTGAGAAAAAGCTATAAATCTCCACCTCCAGCACCCTCACACACAATATAGCTCATACTAGCCGAGACTCTTCTTTATGTGTAGATGTGAAGTAATGATGCAATGGAAATCCACCAGTACCACTGGAATTAAAAACATTATTAAAGCTTACCGTTTGAATCGAGCTAAGGCAAGCAGAGATTTTTCAACACTGGCTGGTTATTTACTCAAATATGTATTTTGGATAATTTTTAACCCCCCAAAAAAGCTACAAACTGCAGATTTAAGTTTATTTTATTTTTTTAATGGCTTGGAACCACAAGCAAGTTGTACATTTTCAAAACTTTTAGTAATAATCTGATAATAATAATTAAAAATGTACTTTTATTTTTCAAACATTTAAGCATATTTTCAATTGTTAGTATCCTTTCCACTTCATGTTTAATCTGTATAAACTTTTCATTAACAGCAACTGTTAATACTATCAAGCCTTTATGTTAAGATAAGGTATCTTATCTAGTATGACTCACAGTTAGAGAAGGGGAAACCAGTCTTACTTTTCGGTAACAGATAAGGCCAATCTATGTTCTTATGTAACTGATTTTAAAAAGTTATGAACGCTCATAAATCAAACATTTGTATGTCTAACTTGTAAGAGTCTTTGCAGTTTAATACATACGTCTATCATTTAATCCAAGGATCTTAATGATTAATCATTCATTTGGAATTGGAACATCTATAGATTTATAGTATGTGCGATTTATCTCAAATGATAATGAGGTTGAAATCTAACTCGACTCATTTGCGTGCAAGTTTTTCTTTTGTTTGCTATTTTTAAGAAGAATTCTCTCCACAGTTATGACAATCTAAAACCAAGGGGCCTGTCTTCGATTTATAAGCTGATCTGAGCTGCCAAATTCTCATTCCATGACAAACAGTATTTATTTTTAGGGTCTTTTTGGGCTCATTCTGTCTCCTTTTAGCTTTCTTTCTTGGACATTTTCCCCTTGTACTCTCTCTTTCTCATTCCCTCAGTGAACTCTTATGTCTTGAAAGACCCAGGCAGCACAAAGTTTCCAAAGTCAAGTACATGTCTCTCTGTTTCTGACTGCCAATTTGTGGTTTTGTCACCCCGTGTTATTCTCGTCTCGTATTCTTTTAACACATCTCTTAATCGCATCTTTTGCAGATCTGTCCACAGCAAAGAGAAAGTTTGCAGAGTCGCTGAACGAGTTTAAATTCCAGTGCATTGGTGATGCAGAAACAGATGATGAGATATGCATTGGTAAGATCACGACATTGCTTTTTCTGAATGTCTGTTGTTAAGGTCAGTGTAATGAAGTTTTAAACCCCAATGTACTGTATGCTATTGTACATAGAACATTTGTCGGAAGCTATGAACTCAACACCAAAAGCACCAGCTTCATCATTGTTTCTCTAAATGGAATCGGTACAAATTGATCCACGGCCATCTGATTCCACTCCAGTTCTTCCACAATGTATTCATTACAAGCTTTTTAACTCAAATAGACGGATTTTACCGAGCGCCGTCCACACGACCATTTAATTGAGCCACGATTAAACTGAGCTCAACTTTTTATGCATTTGCCATAATTTCACTTGACGGTGTGGCATCAAAGACTTAAGTGTTGGAACCTGTGGGAATTTTTGTGGCTTTTTGTAAGTCCTGGCACCTTACATGGAAACTTGCTGAAATCCTGCTTGGCTGAATCTGAAGAAGGAACAAGTATGGGCTTGCCTTTCTTCTGATCTCATCTTCAATTGCTGCCTTGCAGTCCTGCAGTCTCATACTTTCTGTTGACATTGTTCTTTATGAAGTTGAATATTAAAACCAAAGGCCACAGCAGAGCCCACTTTATTATATCTGGACTCTGGAGTTTTCTTAGTAAATGCATCCAGTGCATGTCTTGAGAGATTGTTTCGATGTACTAGTGCCAAATAATGAAAGGCAAGCATCAGTATTACGACTGCACATAGTTAGACATACAGTACGTGTTTGCTGCAGACATGAATGTCATATAATGGATCAGTTCTACAGTATATGGAGGTGTTTCAGTTGTATAACAATTTGATGTTTTTTTGCCTGGTGGACAATAAAACAGGCAACAAAAAAAGAAAAGAAAAATTAACCAGACCTGCACTGAAGTAAGGACAGTATCTATAGGAACCAAAATATAATTTAGTTGTTTTTTTCTTGACTTAGCATCATGCAAATACCACCCTAAAACCTTGGCACAAGCTCTTGTGAAAAAGTGCACTTTATTGTATCGAATGTGCACTTTGACTTTAAAGTACATTTGACATCATTATGTTTGAATAATTTTTTGTTTGTTTTCAAAAAAGTACACTTTTTTTGATGGCTTGAGTAACATACATGCAAAGTAGCTGAGTGTGATTTTAACTTTAGTGTGTTATTTGATATTACATTTATAGTTAATAGATTTTACATGTGCTAAATTGCTGTCTCATTCTAAAAGTGTAATTACATTATATTTAGATACATGACATTAAGTATATTTGATTTGACCATAAATGTCTGTACATTCGACTGTACACTTTAAAAGATATACTTAAATCCTTCTTAAGTTGGGTTAAAAAGCACTCCTGAGCAACTAAATGAAAATGTAAATGATATAATTTCATTTAAATGCAAATGACAAGCATTTTGCAAGTTTCTGAAAACATAGTACTGAAGCATTATGTTTTGCATGGGCAAGTACCTTATATTTTCGTTCAGAAAAATAACTAGTCTAGTTGTATTTGTTGTTTTTTTCTAGTGTTAAACACAGTCTTTTCAGAAATGTTGGTATTTGGCCACTGGTATTTTGTAAGAGCACTAAACACATGGTAGATCGGTGTTGTTTCCTTCTCATGGTTGTCATTCGGCCATATTATGCTTGTTGAACACAAACCTGATGTCCTGGTTTCTGTGGTGAATAAAAAAATGACAACTGACTTCAGTGCTTGTAGATGCCAATTAACGTAGTATGTTGTGTGTGTGTGTGTATGTGGTCACCAGTCTCATATTTTTTCTTTCAAAGCTAAATCACTACAGGAGTTTGCTGGAGTCTTACAGAACCTGGAAGACGAGAGGACACGAATGGTGAGCTGGTTTTTTCATCATCAGCTTCATTATCATTATGCTTATCACTAATATTTTAAAGGAATAGTTCATTGAAAAATGAAACTTACCCTCATGTCGTTCCAAAACAGTTCTATTGGACAGTATGGTGAGATACACTCACCTAAAGGATTATTAGGAACACCTGTTAAATTTCTAATTAATGCAATTATCTAATCAACCAATCACATTGCAGTTGCTTCAATGCATTTAGGGGTGTGGTCCTGGTCAAGACAATCTCCTGAACTCCAAACTGAATATCAGAATGGGAAAGAAAGGAGATTTAAGCCATTTTGAGCGTGGCATGGTTGTTGGTGCCAGACGAGCCAGTCTGAGTATTTCACAATCTGCTCAGTTACTGGGATTTTCACGCACAACCATTTCTAGGGTTTACAAAGAATGGTGTGAAAAAGGGAAAAACATCCAGTATGCGGCAGTCCTGTGGGCGAACATGCCTTGTTGATGCTAGAGGTCAGAGGAGAATGGGTCGACTGATTCAAGCTGATAGAAGAGCAACTTTTACTGAAATAACCACTCGTTACAACCGAGGTATGCAGCAAAGCATTTGTGGAGCCACAATTCGCACAACATTGAGGCGGATGGGCTACAACAGCAGAAGACCCCACCGGGTACCACTCATCTCCACTACAAATAGGAAAAAGAGGCTACAATTTACAAGAGATCATCAAAACTGGACAGTTGAAGACTGGAAAAATGTTGCCCGCTCTGATGAGTCTCGATTTCTGTTGAGACATTCAGATGGTAGAGTCAGAATTTGGCGTAAACAGAATGAGAACATGGATCCATCATGCCTTGTTACCACTGTACAGGCTGGTGGTGGTGGTGTAATGGTGTGGGGGGTGTTTTCTTGTCACACTTTAGGCCCCTTAGTGCCAATTCGGCATCGTTTAAATGCCACGGCCTACCTGAGCATTGTTTCTGACCATGTCCGTCTCTTTATGGCCACCATGTCCCCATCCTCTGATGGCTACTTTCAGCAGGATAATGCACCATGTCACAAAGTTCGAATAATTTCAAATTGGTTTCTTGAACACGACAATGAGTTTACTGTACTAAAATGGCCCCCACAGTCACCAGATCTCAACCCAATAGAGCATCTTTGGGATGTGGTAGAATGGGAGCTTCGTGCCCTGGATGTGCATCCCACAAATCTCCATCAACTGCAAGATGCTATCCTATCAATATGGGCCAACATTTCTAAAGAATGATTTCAGCACCTTGTTTAATCAATAATTAAGGCAGTTCTGAAGGTGAAAGGGGGTCAAACACAGTATTAGTATGGTGTTCCTAATAAACCTTTAGGTGATAAACAACTACTTTGTACTTTGCTAACTGTCACATTGCAGGTAGGGTTAGGTTTTGTGAGCTTATGATTGCGATTTTGTTATTTCACACTGGTAAATACTGTGTAGGTTACAAGTGTGAAACTGTTTTTTCACACTTTTTAGACACTGTGCAGTTGCAACTTTATGCAACTTGCTGATGCGTGCTTACACCCTCATACAGTATATATATCCGGTATCAATATGAAGTGCATTAAATATTAAAGGGATAGTTCACACAAAAATTAAAATTAGCCCATGATTTACTGACTCTGAAGCCATCCTAGCTTTATATGACATTCTTCTTTCAGACGAATTATTAAGTTATTAAAAAAAACAAAAAAACAAAAAAAAAAACGTCCTGGTTCTTCCAAGCTTTATAATGCCAGTGAAAGGCTGAATGTCTTTGGAAGTCCATCAAAGCACATCCATCCATCATAAAAGTGCTCCTCGTGGCTCTGGCGGTTAATAAAGGTCTTCATTTTTGGGTGAACTGTCCCTTTAAGTCAGGGTTTCCCAAAATGGGCTCTGTGAAGGAACCCCAGGGAGTTTAATGAAAAGCTAATAATTAAATAAATCATGAAAATGTCAAATAAAAATAAATATCGATATGGTGATATCCTGTACCCCAAAACTGATTGCCCACTGAAGCTAAGCAGGATTGAGCCTGTCAATACTTGGATGGGAGACCTCCTGAGAAAACCAGGTTGCTGCTGGAAGAGGTGTCACTATACTGTCAAAGAGCACCGTCCTTTGGATGAGACGTTAAACCGAGGCCTTGACTCCGTGGTTATTAAAAATCCCAGAATGTCCTTTGAAAAAGAGTAGGGGTGTAAATCCGACATCCTGGCCAATCATATACTGATTGGCTCCACCAGTATATGGTTGCTGTCGCATCATCCAGGTGGATGTTGCACATGGGTGGTGGTTGAGGGAGATTTCCATATGTAAAGTGCTTTGAGGTCCCAGAAAAAGCATTATATAAATGTAACAAATTATTATTATTATAAATAACTATAAAATAATTTAAAAAGTGTTTAAAAGGACATAACGAAGGTTAAATGACCTACTGAGGAATAATTCAAATAATAACCAATATCTGGTCACGAACTTTTAAATTTACAAAAAAATATTTGTTACTTTTTCACATAACTAACACAAGTTCATTTGTTTTCTCATGTATTGCCTGACATCCTCAGTCCCCATGGTGAGAGCAATCTGAAATAAAGGTGTAAAATGAGTATTTCAGTATTATTCAACATAAATAAAAAAATTAAAAATTTATTTAATCTCACTTTATTAACCAATGTCTTTGCTGCTGACTTTCAATGATCCAATTCAACCATACGAATAAGCAAAAATGACTAGGAAAACATCATATTTGCAATTTCTGCATCCTATTCTTTTGTGGTCCAGAATGGCAGCACATCTGAAAGGGTTGTTTGAGCTGCGCCCTCTACTGTACAGGAGTGAATGTGCATTTCCTTCAGCCTGAGGCTTATTCATCCCACTTTTGGTGTGAAAGAGCCTTTTTTGTCTGGATCCCAAATGGCACACTTCATGTGTCAAAATAAAAAAAAATAAAAAAATCATTAGTAAAAAATAAAAAAAGCAATTGATTGAAATGAATTACTAAAACAAACTATATGGCCTTATAATAACGGCGTTCACTGAATAAAATGATTGAGTGTGCATTTTCAGGCATGGCACATGTCATGATGGTGAGTAAATGTTGACTGAAATGTCAGTTTTGTATGTAAGTAATGAAAGGAACTCTGCGACTTGTGTCTCTTCAGATTGAAAATGCCAATGATGTGTTGATCTTGCCGCTGGAGCGCTTTAGGAAGGAGCAGATTGCAGCTGCAAAGGTAAGAGTAGAAATTCCTGTTTAAACCACTTTATGCTGTTATGGTATTCATAGGCTTATTGTGTCACGTAACAGTTTAGTTAGCAATGCCATTATAGAAGTACCCTGTTGTGGTGGAAATGTGTCACTTAGTTATGTTTAATGTTATAAAGTCAATGCGTGGAGATTCCTTGTGGGCCGAGCAAATACAGATCATAGTGTTAATGTTTTAAACAGCACTGCCATCTGTTGGTTATGTTGTGTAAGCACTTATTATAGTGTTCACAATAAAAATAAACAGATACAATTAATCTGCTTAATTTGATACATATAACAGGTTGTGCATTTCTCTTAAAAAAAAATAAAATTCAAATGTAATGCCAGACTGTGTAGAAATGGAATAGAGCCACATTTACACATAGCCGGTTATTTTAGAGAGTATTTCTTCAAAAAATTTACATCAACCTGCATAAATATAGGCAGTCGAGCGCCATCATAGATGCCAAACTGGGCTCCTACATGACGTTAAGCATTTTCTTGTGATTAATGTAACGTTTGAGAACCTAAAACCCTGTTTGTCCCAGTTGACACGGCAACACATAACCGCCGTTTTCAGAAATCTCCACTTTGGCCAGTTTTTAGAAATACGTTTTCGTGTAAATGAGAGGCCGAACCGCATGGAAATATCTGCGTCTTCCCTTCGTGTAAACGAAGTCATAAGTTAGTAATAATAAATGTATTAAGTTCGCAAATTGGGACGCAGCTATGGTTATATTTGTCACTGTTTTGCCTGTGTTTCTAATCTGCCAGATAGCACACGTACATCACGGAAACGTCTTTTTGATATGCGTGTTTACATCTGGCATATTTTTAGAGTGTTGGAATAATATGTTTAGAATGATTTGGAATGCACGTTAAACTGACATCTTAAAGGGATAGTTAACTTTGAAATTAATTTTTGGTATGTTTTATCTTACCTCAAGGGCATCCAAGATGTAGGTGTCTTTGTTTCTGCAATATTTTCAAATTTGATATTTTTAGGTCAAACCGTTCTTGTCTGTCAGTCATATAATGGAGGTCTATGGTCACCACCTCAAAGAGCATGCACAGAAAAGTCCAAATTAAACATGATTTAATGACTCGTAAATGTATATACACATTGATGGCCTAAGACACGAAACAAGCGGTTTGTGTGAGAAAACGAACATTATTTATATTGTTTTTACCTCTTGTAACCACAACCACGTCCAAGTGATCTGAGGACGCAGGCACTCAGTTACAAGAGGTAAAAGCGATATCAATACTGTTCGTTTTCTCACACAAACCGCTCGTTTCGTGTCTTAGGCCATCATTGTGTACATACATTTACGAGTCATTAAATCATGTTTAATTTGGACTTCTCTGTGCATGCTCTTTGAGGTGGTGACCATAGACCTCCATTATATGACTGACAGACAAGAACGGTTGGACCTAAAAATATCAAAATTGAAACTTCTGTGGAAACAAAGACACCTACATCTTGGATGCCCTTGGGGTAAGATAAAACATATCAAAAATTGATTTTAAAGTGAATTATCCCTTTAAAGATGTTAGTAAACAGCAGATGTTTTCCAGATGAAGTGATCTTTAAGAGACGTCTTGCAGACGTACGTGTGCTATCTGGGCTAGTTCATTATTGGTTGTCATGGTTTCTGATTAATTACACACACCTGTTTTTTGTTCTGTTTATCATTCCCTCAGTTTATTTAAGCCTTCAGTTTTCTCCATTTTGTGTTCCGCTTTAATGGTTTATGTGTAGTGTTTTACGCTCTTTGTGTTTATTAAATACTATTTCATCATTCATTCTGTCACACGTCGCTCTTGTGGATTTACTACATGCTCATCAGTGACAAAAGCATGAGTATTAAAATAATTTAAAGTGTACTTTAAGTAAACCTTTTTTATTTTATACTATTAAAGGGTTAGTTCACCCAAAAATGAAAATTAAGTCATTAATTACTCACCCCCATGCTGTACCAACCCCGTAAGACCTTCGTTCGTCTTCGGAACACAAATGAAGATATTTTTGATTAAATTTGAGAGCTGTATAACTACCACATTGGCTCCTAAAGGACTGCCTCTTGACGGCCCAGAAAGTCAATGAAGAAAATGTTTAAATATCCCAAGTGACTACCGTGGCTCAACTATATGTTTATCAAGCGACGCGAATACTTTTTGTGCGAAAAAACAAACAAAAATAACGAGTTTATTCGACTATTTCTTTTCTTCCTTGTAGGCCAGAACGAGACTTCCTTAGATTTCCACGACGCATGCGCGAGATTTGCGATCTGCTCACATCAGCTTACACCACTTCAGATCGCAATTCTCGCGCATGCGTCGTGGAAATCTAAGGAAGTCTCGTTCTGGCCTACAAGGAAGAAAAGAAATAGTCGAATAAACTCGTTATTTTTGTTTGTTTTTTCGCACAAAAAGTATTCGCGTCGCTTGATAAACATATAGTTGAGCCACGGTAGTCACTTGGGATATTTAAACATTTTCTTCATTGACTTTCTGGGCCGTCAAGAGGCAGTCCTTTAGGAGCCAATGTGGTAGTTATACAGCTCTCAAATTTAATCAAAAATATCTTCATTTGTGTTCCGAAGACGAACGAAGGTCTTACGGGGTTGGTACAGCATGGGGGTGAGTAATTAATGACTTAATTTTCATTTTTGGGTGAACTAACCCTTTAAAGAGTGCACTTTTTTTCAAAAATATTTAGTCATGAAATTAGAGAGTTTTTTATGTCATTAATTTTGTATAAAACTATACTTTAAATATTTGAAGCACACTATTACGCACACTTCTTTTTCACAAGGGTTGGAGAACAAAGACATTTAGATTATCTGTCTATTTACAGTCAAGAGGCAAGCGACACAGCCTGAGAACTTCAACATCCACCCCAAATGCATTACTTGATATAGTTTAATTAAAGTGACTGCATGGACTTCACACAGAAACGACTTCAAAATGTAAAATATATTACATTGAAAATGATTATAGCTGTTATCTGTTTGATTTGTCTCAAGAGTTTGCATTTTTATCCCATAGGAGGCCAAAAAGAAATATGATAAAGAAACAGAGAAGTATTGTACCGTGTTGGAGAAACATCTCAGCCTGTCTGCCAAGAAGAAGGAAGCACACCTTCATGAAGTATGTACTGCTCTCAGTGCCAGTCTATGTATACTGAAATGACCTTTTTTGGATGCGGTTAAGGGACTAAAAGCCACAAACCCCCAATTTGATTCCATGTGGTTTTGTTTAGTTGTGTATTTGGTTTGATTTTCTAAACACATTTCTCCACAGGCGGATAACCAGGTGGACCACGTGAGGCAGCACTTCTATGAGGTCTCACTGGAATATGTCTTCAAAGTGCAAGAAGTTCAGGAAAGGAAAATGTTCGAGTTTGTGGAGCCGGTAAAAGCTCATCTCATTTTATTGCGGTGGTTCTTTAAAAAATACAATAGCAATGCCAAAAACATGGGATCCCATCCCAGCAAACATTTGGACGTTTAATGACCGTTGAAAAGACCGACACGTCAGTGATGCGCGGGTCAATGTATTTAAACAACCCGCAACCGACCGACGTTTTCAGCTACCCGCCCGCAACTCGGACCGCAAAAAAAAGTAAAAAACATTGTACCCGACCCGCTTCCTGGCCGCATTTTTTAAAAGTAGTAAATGCTCATCGGAGCGTTATGGGCTCTATGCACGGCGTTATTTCCGGTGAAGGATTAAGGCTCGATAACTTCCGCCGATCATAGAGTCCAATGCAATACCGAGAATTTATATTGAATTTTATACTCCATGGTTATACTAATGAAACGTTAGTCACAAAAACAGATAAACCAGACACCCCTCGTTGTGTTTATGCTTCTTTTTAAAATTATATTAAATAAACATAATTATATATAAAATTACATCTAAACGTACGTTTTGTTTCATAGACGGGAGGACAGTAAATATTGAAGACTCTGCCATAATCCCGTTTTCTCCGGTTTTCCTCCGCTTTAATCTACACAACCGGAAATGGACGAGCATCTTACGTTAAATGCGGAACTTATGCGTGCATATAGCCCATTGGGCCATAGACGTGTAACACAGCATCGCAAGAAGACGTAGGCCTACACATAACAAAGGCAAAGCCAGCACTTTGGTCATCATCTTTCATTATTTCAGTAAATGTCTCCCACACTTTTACTCTTTCTATTTGTGTATTTGCGGAGCTTCCACTCCCCAGTCTTCACCTTTTCTCTTGCCGCCTCCATCTCTGCAGACTGTAGTGATCGTAGACATGGCCGGTTCGTGAACGAATCGTTCTTTTGAACCGGTTCTTTTTAGTGAACCGGTCGAACCAGTACACTCGAACTGAATCGTTCGAAACAGTTCGCGTCTTGCGTCAGTGCTGATCCACAAGTTACTAAAGTTACTCACTTTCAGACATGCCTGACAGTCGCCTCCGAATCGAAATAAATCAATATCCAGAATTATATTTTACTCCAGTAACTCCAACAGTTCACTGAACCGAGACATGTTGGTGCCACTGTTGAGAGAAGTGATGAACACGAGCAGCTGAGACTGCGTATACCGAACGCACAAGGACAGCGGTTCTCCAATCACTAGTAAAGAACCGAGAACTGTTTAGACTGAGCTTGTGTGTTATCTTCGTGCCAGTTATTCAGCCAATAATGTGTAGGGCTGTATATTTCATCAAAAATTGTGTCTACTATATACAAATGTTTAATTGGCATCTTTTTTCAAACGACCCGACCAACCGCGACCCGAATATAATTAAAAACATTTTTGGATGACCCGTAACTGCGGGTAACCGCGGGTGACCGCAGGCACCCGCTCATTTCGGATCAACCCGCGCATCACTGCGACACGTCACGTCGTGGCTGAAGAAATTTCCAAAGTGAAAGTTGAACCGCTACCGCGATCATTTTTGGCCAGGGACACGACGCTGCCATCGGACTAGTGTTTGCTGGGATGGGATGGTCTGGTACTTTTTTGTTAGTAAAGCTTGTATAATTTTGACTGAAATTAAATTATCTAAATATGATTGCTGTTAAACATCTTTAAATTAAACTGTATGTCCTGTTCACGACATCTGCTTTCCTCTTTTGTTGTGTGTAGTTGCTGGCTTTTCTACAGGGTCTATTTACATATTATCACCATGGGTACGAACTGGCCAAAGACTTCAACCATTTCAAGACAGACCTCACTATCAGCATTCAAAATGTGAGTCCATTTCTTACAACAGACCCTCACAGATGTTGAAATTACCCTTTTTTTGTGTGTGATTCTTTATTTATTAAACATTTTGTGTTTTTAACTATTTACAACAAATCCCAAGATCGCCCATGACCGTAAGACTAAATATAAATACATAGAATAGATAAATATGACAAGAAATTAAAATAAAATTGACCAAAATTTAGAAGGATCTCAAAAACTTACTGATATTACACATTTTAAAAAGGCAGATTTAGTTCAGTTTATAGAATTATGTCATTAAATACTCACCCTCATGTCGTACCAAACCCGTCCCAGATAGCAAACTGACATTGAATCAACGTGGAAATATGACATCGAAACAACGTTGATCTGACATTGTTTTGCTCATCGAATTAACGTTGAACCAACGTCAGACGCGTCATTCTTTCAAAACTAACGGAAAATCAACTTGAAATCAACGCGTTGTTTCAACGTTATGAAAGCAAACCAATTTTCGATTTCATTTAACTTTGAAGAATGCCGCGTCTGACGTTGGTTCAACGTTAATTCGATGAGCAAATCAACGTTGATTCAATGTCATGAGAGACGTCGTTTCCCTGTTGATTCAATGTCAGTTTGCTGTCTGGGGTAGGATCTTCAGAACACAAATTAAAATATTTTGAGTGAAATCTGAGATTTCCGTCCCTCCATTCACAGCTACGCAACTACCACTTTGATGCTTCAAAAAGTTAATAACGAGATCGCAAAATTAATCCATATGAATTGAGCGGTAATAGTCCAAATTTTCAACATTTGAACAGATTGAAGTTAGGCTTTTATTCACATATAAACATTTATCAATTCACACATCACATCAGTTGTGGTAAACGGAAGCTCAAGCATGTTTGCTTGACATGTGAGAACCAATGAGGTTCATTCTGGTGTTACGCAGCACGTTTGAGCTTCAGCAAGAACCAATAAGGTTCATTCTAGTGTTAACTTACACTGCACGTTCGAGCTTCTGCAAGAACCAATGAGGTTCATTCTAGTGTTACGCAACACGTTTGAGCTTCTGCAAGAACCAATGTTCACACGAGAATGAACCTCATTGGTTCTTGTGGAAGCTCAAACGTGTTTGTTCTTGTGTGTTAAGCGGGTTCGGTTGAGCTTCTTTTTATGTTCGCTGATCAATGTTTATATGTGATAAAACCCTAAATTCAATCTGTTCATCATATAAAACGATCGAGTCTTTTCAGAAAATTTAGACTAAAGCACTCAATTGAAATGGATTAGTTTTACCATCTCCTTAAAAACTCTTTGGAGTATCAAAGTGTTAGTTGTGTAGCTGTCAATGGAGAGACAGAAAGCTCTCAGATCTTCATTTGTGTCACGAAGATGAACAGAATTCTTACGGGTTTGGAGCGACATGAGGGTGAGTAATTAATGATGGAATTTTCATTTTTGGGTGAGCCATAACCTTTAATAATTTGCAAATGAGAGTCATCACCATGTCATGTTTTGTTAAGTCCATTGGGATGAGTGTATGTTCACTGGACAGGATCAACATGACCCCTGATGGGAGCAGTCAATGTCCTTTTGCCAATACATAAATTACAAATATGATAAAACTGGCCTCTTCAAAATGACCCTAGTCAGATATGTGTTATATTTGAGCAGCTTTCATTTTTACAAGCTTTCTTGAATCTTCATACTATCTGTTGAATCATTCACCTTCTTAAATTGTCGCTGTGGTCTTTCAGACTCGGAACCGGTTTGCGAGTACACGTTCAGAGGTGGAATGTTTGATGAAGAAGATGAAGGAAAACCCACACGAACACAAGAGCATCAGTCCGCACACAATGCAGGGATATCTGTTTGTGCAGGAGAAACGTAAGTTGAAAAGTGTGGAGCTTTTCTCTTATTTGTAAGACACAACTGATCACACTGACTTGTGGCCTCTGTCGAAGTTAGTGTGATTTTATTTTTCATTACGTTTAATTTTCAATTACTACTCAACTACACTACCCACAATACTACCTCACAAATTCTTTTTTTCTGTGACAATTTCTGTGTCCATGCAAACTTCTCTGAATGTTGGGTCGCCATACATTCAAAAACATTTGCGTGGATACAGAAATTGTTAATTGAAAAAATTGTCACGAAACAAAGAATTTGTGTATGTGTATTATCTAAATTGTATTGTATTTAGCAAAGACTCTAATTCAGCCGTGTCATATGATATTGCAGGTAACTTTTGTTATATTTTATGATTTTTTACTACTCACAGAGCTTTGTTGCAACCCAGGCTCATGAAAAATATGTGCCTGCGGAGTCATTTTTGCTAAAATATTAGGTTGTTTTTGGCATGGTTCATGGCAGTTTCCAACTGAAATGTTCTGAAACAGACTGTGCCAACATTTTTAATTTGATTGTCTTATGCACTTATTGTGCCAGTTTAAATGAAATGTGCATTGAGTGGTAATGTTTGTCGTGTTTGAAAATAACGTAAAAAAGTGCTTTGGGAAGTGTGTTTGTGTCAGTCTAAAACGTGAAATGGAGCACACTAGGGTTATTTTAGTGTCAGGATTATATTAGCATAAATTATATTCTATAGAGTGCCGAAGCGATGACGTCACTTTGTAGGACAACTCGGAAGCTCGTTTTGGCCTACAGAGTGACATCGTAACTTCGGCACTCTATTATAGCGGTGGTTTTAATTCCTGATCCTCTGCTCTGGATATTTTAGCAGCGTTCGAACATTTAAAGTGTACGTAAAGTATATTTGTAAAAGTTCCATTTCCTGTCCCCTGTGATACCTTCGTCTGATCGATTTTTGAAGGCAGCATCACTGCCTTAGATATCCCACAATCCTCTGCTTTCCATTCTGTGACACTTGAGCTATAAAAAGAAATATGGCATCTGAAAGTTGCAGTTGGTGGTCAGTTTGTGTAAATGTATGATTTTTATGTCATTTCCAGTAAGAAATTTAAATTGTAGTAAATTAATATTTGAGTTTATTTAGAATCTCCATAGAGTTCCTATAGGCCCCTCTAGTGGCAATTATCACGAAATGCAGATCAATGTAATTTTTTTTTTTTCCCCCACAAAAGGGTCAGCAGAGACACACAATGACTAAAATTGGACTGGAATGATGTCTTTTCTTTTTTTGTGAAATAATGTTAAATGCATATTTTCAATTAAAATAATAGAAATAAAAAATTTAGAGGTAAATCTAATAAAAATCACACACATAAATATCAAAGAGTAATATTTTATAATAATAGACTGGTATTAAGATATCTGGACCAGATATCTTAATAATTCTTGAATATTTCATATTTAAAGGTGCAGTGTGTAGATTTTAGCGGCATCTAGTGGTTCGGTTGCGAGTTGCACTAATGACTCAGCCCACTGCTCACCCCTCCCTTTCGAAAAGCTACGGTGGCTAAAACGGGACAAACATATCGTCGTCTGAGAAAGTAGAGAATAGCAAGTGTAAGCTAGTACAGTGTGTAACATTGTCACTGCTTCTGTACCGCAGTCCATTATAAATCACTTCATGGATAAAGTTTACATAGCCATAGTCAGGTGAGGATCAAGGGTCTCAATATATAATATAATAATAGTAATAAGCTGATTGACTCAAGAACGTAACCAGCACTTTCTCCCCACATAGCAAAACCATAATACAGCGAGGGAGAAGAACCACATGAAACTATCCAACTATATATTTTTTTCTAGAAGGGTAGTAAAAGTTTAGCTGGTTAATATGAGCTGTTATACTGTATTTTACACCACTTTTACACAAAATATAAACGAAACGTGCCCTGTAACGCTGACGGCTACGGTAGAAACATGACTAGGGTTGGGTATCGTTTGAATTTGAACGATTCTGATTCCGATTCCAATTCCTTGTTTCGATTCCGGTTCCTAACGATTCTCGATTTCGATTCTTTTAAGAGGCAGGGTCAAAAAAGTTTAGCTAACCTTGCTAACCAACGGCTTTTCTGAAGGAAATAATCCTTTCTGAAGGAAATACTCCTTCTGTAAAAATCCTTTTGTCACAAATTTTGCATTTTGCCGAGATTTCGTTATTTTTAGAAAAGTGAAGCCACACTTTGGATCGCCGTCGTAAGGTACTCATGTTCGATTCGCGCGGTTATGCCAACACTTCCGGTAGACTCTTCTTCGTTGGTGTTGTTCAGCGGTTTCTTCTTCCGCTCGGCGGACTGTGAATATCGAAACTAGGAATCAAAATTTTAACTTTTGAACGATTCCGGGAAAAACGAAAAGTTAGTCTCGGTTCCAATCGATACTCGATTCTCGATACCCAACCCTAAACATGACGTCACAATATGTCGACCTTCATAGAAGAGGGTGCCCACGGTAATGTAGATATTAATGTCTCATTCTAAGGTAATAAAAACATAACGATTCATTGAGTAAGGTCTTTATACACCACTGAACATAGCTATGGATCTTATATTGGATTTCTGTCAATAGATCCTCAGAAATATCACACGTTGCACCTTTAATACTGTTGGAAGGAGAGCTTTGTGATCTGTATCTTGTGGTCTAACTGTCTTTTTCTCATGTACCAAATCAGGTCCCTTTGTGTCCACATGGGTGAAGTACTACTGCTCCTATCATCGAGAGCCCAAACGCATGACCTTGATGCTGTTCGATCAGAAGTCTGGAGGCAAAAATGTACGTTTCTCTCTCTCACACACAAACACACAAACACACTCTTTCTCAGATACAAAGTCCCTCGTACCCTTTCACTCAGCAGCATGTTTAACCTTTGGAATGGAGAGTGTATTCTGGCACTGGCCACGTGCTTATTCCCCTTGCTGGCACTGACACGACGCTTATCCTGCACAGAAAGCTGTGTGTCGCATGGTTGAGCTGGCACTAGCGTCTGCCCCTGGCTCTGTGCCCGTCACACTCTCTTCTGCCACACACACACACACAGGGTCAATAGCACGAATCTCACACCAGGGACTGTATGCGGCCTGATTACATTCCGACCACTTACAACCAAACTAAACAGACAAGCCTGCCAACTGCAAGAGAAAAGCAAACAGAACAACGGTTTTATTATGATTGTGAATTCAATTCAGAATCAAATTGTGTCCTGATTTGTATGGTTTATGTTATTGCTGACATATTTACTTAGAAATGCACGAAATTCTCCTACATTCAATTGAATAAAGGCGAAATGCAGAATTTAAAAAAATTGCTTTCGATTCTTGAGTTGGAATTTGAATTGCTGTCAGCAGGAAGAGCAATTTACTGAATTGCAATTTTAAACAATTAAACAATAGAGGAATTGCCAGTCCAACACCTATAGACCATTTCACAAGATGTAAACAACACTGGTCCAGAAACACTTCCTGTTTCAGTTTGTAACTGTTTTCTTTATTTCATAGTAAAGAAAACATCTTAAAGATGTTTGTTTAACTTTTTGATTCAGTTTTAAATGTTCTGTTGGTTGTATTTTATCCCAGCTTTTATGTAGTGTTAAAAAACTGAAACAGGAAGTGCTTCTGGACCAGTGTTGTTTACATCTTGTGAAATGGTCTATAGCTGCGCAATTAATTGTTAAAACATAACGACCTCGATTCGATCATCCACCTGGTCTCATTCCTAGATGACAGCTGTGTTAAAAATAATTGAAATGATCATAGAAGGACTGGGATAAAAGTTTATAGATTGGATATAAACACTGATGTCTACAGTAGAGGTCAGAATAGAGTGACTGACCTTCTGAAAATATCTTCACAAGTGAAAAAATGTATTTGTCTTTGAATCATTCATTCAAAAGATTTATAAAAAATGATGATTCATCCAGTAATGAAACAGGTGAAGTATAAATGAGTGAGTCATTGAGTCATTCAAAATAATTATTTCAATGCAAACCATGTTGAGCTATATAACAATGATTCATTTTCTGTTGATAAAACACATATATTAAAGCGTCTTTGGTGTTTCAGAAGAGGGGTAATGCGGATATGACATCAATGACAGGCAACCGGCCGTTACACTGGTTAAAATAGCTGATTTCTCTGGATTTAAACACTGTTTGAAACATTTGGGTTAAAGGATCAGTTCACTTTTAAAAAAACTTTTGCTGATAATTTACTCACCCCCATGTCATCCAAGATATCCATGTCTTTCTTTCTTCAGTCGAAAAGAAATTAAGTTTTTTGATGAAAACATTCCAGCATTTTTCTCCATATAATGGACTTCAATGGGAACCAAACGGTTCAAGGTCCAAAAGACAGATTCAGTACAAACTGCAAACTGTTCAAAGGGCTTTAAATGATTTCAGACGATGAATAAGTGTCTTATCAAGCAAAACGATCGCTCATTTAAAAAAAAAAATAACAAAGTATAAATTTTATAAGCTCAAATGCTCTCCTTGCTCTGTTCCGTGATGCACGTTCGTGACTGTCCTGTTTGAACTCGTTTATCAAAATGAATTAATCTTTTTTCGTGTCATTTGGTTCATTCAACGAACGAAATGAACGAGTTGACTCGGGAAAAGTTTCGTTCATTTTGATGAACGAGTTCGAATAGGAGAGTCACGAACGCACATCGCATCCTAACTAAAGCTAACAGAGCAAGGCGACCATAAAACTTAAACTTTGTTGTTGTTTTTTTAAATGAGCGATCGATTCGCTTGATAAGACCCTTATTCATCATCTGGAATCGTTTAAAGCCCTTTGAACAGTTTGCAGTTTGCACTGAAACTGTCTTTTGGACCTTGAACCGTTTAGTTCCCATTGAAGTCCATTATATGGAGAAAAATCCTGGAATGTTTTCATCAAAAACCTTAATTTCTTTTCGACTGAAGAAAGAAAGACATGGATATCTTGGATGACGTAGGGGTGAGTAAATTATCAGCAAAAGTTTTTTTTTAAAAGTGAACTACTCCTTTAGTATAAGTACACAAGTCAACAAAATATATAACATTGTTCTAGTGCTGTAACACGCAGTTACTTTTTTTTTTTCAAGTTTCATTCCATTTTAATTTTAATTTTCTAAAATCAAATTTTAATTAGAATCATGTTTGCAGACTCAGTTCAAAACAGTTCAAATTCATTATAGATTACAGAAGCTTATGTAGCCGCCTCACTCAAACACCAGTTCTAAATAAAATTAAAATATTGAATTTGTAATTAATGTACATTAAATATTCCTATATATATATTCCAGTCATTTTTTCTAGTGTTTTTTAAACCTAATGTTTCACATCTGCGAAACCCGTCGACTGCCTGTCTGCTCGTCTTCATCATATTTGGCACGATATTTTAGTGAGCTATATATAGATAATATTAATGAGTAATGAGTTTTAGAAGAGAAGTCAAATCTGGCACCGAAAACCAAAAAAAAAAACCAAACATGTGAATTAAACATGCAATGTGATGAGTTAAAAATGTGACTTTACACAGACAAAGGTTGATAAGCAGAGGTTTTTTGCTAAGGTGGTTACTAGGGAGTTGCTAGGTTGTTCTGTGGCTGCATACTGGTCCAAGTCATGTATTTTTGTAATAAAAATTGTAAGTGTTTTCAATTCCAGTAGTGATAGCACACTGCAGCTCAACAAGACACACAATATGATAATTCATATTTGCAGCACACACTGTGTTGTTGAATTATGGACCAAAAAAAAGAAAAAATTCAGGTTAAGGGTTCAAATACTAATGCTTCCCATAGGAAACATTATTAAATACCCTAAAATATTCCTTAACACATGACATTATCCCTAATTGTGCACTTAGTCTTGCACACTTACTGTAGACTAGACTGCAGTGTCCCATTTGTCGTTTGTAGTTTCTGATGAGTGCTAACATGAGCTCAGTTTGTTTAGTATGCAATCGTTATGCTAGCTTTACCTTATCACCTTTTCTGGTATGATAAGAGAGACAGAAAACTAATGAGAAGTCACTCAGTAGAGTGGATTGATAGAAACAATTAGACTGTAAGTGGAGAGGTCACTGAAAAAAGAGAATGTCACTGAAAAAAAGAGAACGCCAGCGCTCTGGTAATGAACTCCAGAGGCATGTGTGTAATGTGTTGTTAGTCGGTAAAGGAGTTGTGAAGTGTTGGAATAAAAATAGCTGACCGTATTTGAACACCCATTCCTTGGCCAGACTTTTGCAAGAAGATATGGAGGAACCTGACACTTTATCATACATTTATATAATCATTTATGTGATGACAGTGTAGTCTGTAAATATAGAACATCTGGTCACATTTTCCTGTCAGCTGTCCGGGCCCGCGTAAAAATCAGTCAAATAGTGAGAATTTGGTGCCTATATTCAACCTTGTGTTTCTCTTTCAGGGAGATGAGGAAAGCTTTACGCTCAAATCTTGCACCAGAAGGAAAACGGACTCCATTGAGAAGAGGTTCTGCTTTGACATTGAAGCCGTGGACCGGTGAGTTGACGGCCCGCATACCCGCCACCAGATGGCGCTTTAGTCCACATAACATCCAGCGGGAGTCACACTTCCTGGCTGCTGCTCAGGAAAGGGGGTGGAGATTTTAACTAGGTCTACCAAGCATAGAAAGAGTACACTGCAGATAGCTTCAACCTGTCAGAACTGTTGCAGTAACTAAGAATGCAGAGGTAAAGTGGCCATCTCATGGATTGAGGGTAGGAGAAAGCAGCCAAAATGTCCTCAGCCCTCCTCAGAATGGTGATGCAATGTTGGACTGTTAGTTAATAGCCCGCTTTGCACACTGCAAAAATATATATATCTTGTTTTCCAGCAAAATTATATTTCCACAGAATATATATCTTGAAGTAAATCAATTTTTCTTTCCCCGCTAAGATTCAAGTATATACCTTATTATATTTCCGTTTAAAGGCACAGTATGTAATATTGACAGCTTGCGGTTGAAATGGTAATGCAGTTCAAATTCAAAATATTTGAGAGAGTTGTTGTTTCCTCCGCCTCTTCCTCAGACTCGACGCTCTTGCAACAGGAACGAGCGCAATTTACAATGGAAAGCGACGAGCCTTACAACACTATATATTTATCTGCATTTTAATGTGTTGTAATATGCCTCTGGTCATAGAGCGGTAACAGTGTGTCATGATGAACATGATTTCCATTGTTCTTTCCACATTGACTGCTGTTCTCAGATGGTGTAAAAAGAAAATCTTATTACTATAGCAACCGATGTAGCTATTGCGGATATTGACAACATTATTTTGACAAACAGATCAGATTTCAGGATTTGCAAAATAACAGTATGAACAGTCATTTGACAGTCCAATCAGTGCTTTGATAAAGTTTTTTTTTGCCAAGCGAAAATCTTTCTCTAATTCAGCGGTCCTGTATAGCCCCTGATCATCAATACCTGGCATAGAAAACTTCTCGGTTACTTATGTAACCCTTGTTCCCTGAAGAAGGGAACAGAACCGTTACATTAGAACGGCTGATAAATTGGGATCTCGTCTGAGAGCCCATGCACATTGTCAATGCGAGATTTGCATCGCACACTCCGCCCCGCAGCACATTTCAGGTGTTTTCTGAGGAGCCGAGTACCGGCCACTCAGTGGTGGTACAGCCACTGTGGCGACGGGGCGTAACCTCTCCATTCCCTTCTTCAGGGCGTGGGGTTACATACTAGTGTTGGGCGATATGCTCCATTTTCATATCGTCCTATCGTCAGCCTGTGAGATCGGCGATACACGATAGTATCGTGAGGGGGCGGGGCTAACATTTGATTATTAACTTGATTATTTAGCCTACTCATTCATTTGCTTGTTTTATTAGCCTTCTTCGTTTTATATACGAGAATCTTTTTTTCTATTTTGCTAGCAAAGGTGGAGTGTTTATTAATAGGATCAGGTTATTTCCTGGTATGAGGTAAAAAAAAAAGAGATCCTCATAATCCTTTTGTTTGTCAACGGGAAATTTACGGACACATTAGCCTATCCTCATACCGTTACATGCAGCATTTTGACTAGGGCCTATTTCTGCACGAGATGAAAACACGTTTTAATAATTTCTTGGGTCAGAAAAAGTCGGAGTTTGCGATATGTGCCCCCCTACCAGTGCGCTCTCTGCGCACTTCACATGCGCACTTCAGTAAGCACGAAGTACGCGGGTTAATGCGTTTTAAATGCCGGGAGAAACAAGAGCAAGGGCCAATCAGGTTAAGAACGTCGTCGCATGTAAACGCGCTCAATCTCTGAAAGTGAAAGTAAAAACGGACTGCTTTCGGCATCTGCATTAACGCCGCGTTCCCTCAGAGACGACGATGATAACGGTAACTATAATACTATTTTAGTGATATTATTATTAATACTATTTAGTAATTGTATTGTTTTTAGTGTTAGTGTCATTAAACGGAAACAAATAGCCTACTGACGAACAACGATGCCGTTTTCATCTTGGATCTGTAGGAAATTGAATTTTGCGTCTGTTAAAACGAGCACACTTGATAATTTGTGAATGGATCACCTTGAAATTACATTTTGATGTGGGATGTTTTTTAGTCTGTTTTAAAAACATTCTCTTAGAGGAGTCCGCGTTGTTGCAATTGTTATGAGGTGATGTCGGTGTAAATTTAGACAAGGCAAATTAATTGTAGTTCCTAATATTCATTTAATAACAATACTAGCTTTATAATAATAATAATAGGCCTAATAATAATAATTTAATACATTATGGTAAAACGAGACAATTATCGTATTGATATCGTCAAAGGCATCTGCCATCGGCGATATGTCAGACTATCGTCGATACACGATACTATCGTCTATCGGCACAACCCTATTACATACATAACCAAGACGTTCCCTTTCAGTCACATCTTGGGTCTCAGCCGTGAAGCCAGTGCTGAGGCGGCCTCATATGAAGCAATCCGAGCGGCTGAAGATGTCATATGTCCCAGGAGCCTCTGGAAAAGTTTCAGTGGGGCCACTGTCATGCTTTTGAGCGAATTCAAGCAGTTCAACACTGACCGAGCACATTCCTCTGTGAGGTGCGCTGTCTGGTTGACCGAGTCCAACTCCGTAACGAGAAAAGAGATCCTCTGCACAGGGGAGAGTTTGCTCTTCTCACAGTGGACCCGAAGTCCCAGCTGGCTGAGGTGCCTGAGCACCAGGTCCCTGTGTTTGCACCACCGCTCTTGTGACTGGGCCAGTATGAGCCAGTTGTCGAGGTAGTTGACGCGAACGCCGTGTTATCTCATGGGAACACGGGCCGCCTCAAAGACCTTTGAGAAGATGTGAGGTGACAGCGACACCCCGAGGGGGAGGACTTTGTACTTATATGCTCGACCCTTGAACGCAAAGCGAAGGAGAATCAAGATTTGAAACTTTCTGGTTGATCGTTGCAAACCAATATTGGGAACAGATCGAAAATGTGTTTCTGCGTTAACATTTTTAATTGGAGCTTGTGAAGGGCCCAATTCAAAACACACTACAAAACAGACAAAACAGAGGGGGAGACCGAGTCCATTGGTTTTCAGATACAGTCGAGTTTGAATCAAGACCGAGTCTTTGAAGGGTCGAATCCGAGGCGAAACTGAGTCCATTGGTTTTCAGATACAGTCGAGTCCGAGTCAAGACCGAGTCTTTGAAGGGTCGAATCTGAGTCGAAACTGAATCCATTGGTTTTCAGATACTGTCGAATCCGAGTCAAGACCGAGTCTTTGAAGGGTCGAGTCCGAGTTGAGACGAGTCCGTTGTTTTCAGATACAGTCGAGTCCGAGTCAAGACCGAGTCTTTGAAGGGTCGAGTCCGAGTTGAGACCGAGTCCGTTGGTTTTCAGAGACAATCGAGTCCGAGTCAAGACCGAGTCTTTGAAGGGTCGAGTCCGAGTTGAGACCGAGTCCGTTGGTTTTCAGAGACAGTCGAGTCGAGTCAAGACCGAGTCTTTGAAGGGTCGAGTCCGAGTCGAGACAGAGTCCGTTGGTTTTCAGAGACAGTCGAGTCCGAGTCAAGACCGAGTCTTTGAAGGGTCGAGTCCGAGTTGAGACCGAGTCCGTTGTTTTTCAGATACAGTCGAGTCCGAGTCAAGACCGAGTCTTTGAAGGGTCGAGTCCGAGTTGAGACCGAGTCCGTTGGTTTTCAGAGACAATCGAGTCCGAGTCAAGACCGAGTCTTTGAAGGGTCGAGTCCGAGTTGAGACCGAGTCCGTTGGTTTTCAGAGACAGTCGAGTCCGAGTCAAGACCGAGTCTTTGAAGGGTCGAGTCCGAGTCGAGACAGAGTCCGTTGGTTTTCAGAGACAGTCGAGTCCGAGTCAAGACCGAGTCTTTGAAGGGTCGAGTCCGAGTTGAGACCGAGTCCGTTGTTTTTCAGATACAGTCGAGTCCGAGTCAAGACCGAGTCTTTGAAGGGTCGAGTCCGAGTCGAGACAGAGTCCGTTGGTTTTCAGAGACAGTCGAGTCCGAGTCAAGACCGAGTCTTTGAAGGGTCGAGTCCGAGTTGAGACCGAGTCCGTTGTTTTTCAGATACAGTCGAGTCCGAGTCAAGACCGAGTCTTTGAAGGGTCGAGTCCGAGTTGAGACCGAGTCCGTTGGTTTTCAGAGACAATCGAGTCCGAGTCAAGACCGAGTCTTTGAAGGGTTGAGACCGAGTTGAGACCGAGTCCGTTGTTTTTCAGATACAGTCGAGTCCGAGTCAAGACCGAGTGTTTGAAGGGTCGAGTCCGAGTCGAGACAGAGTCCGTAGTTTTTCAGATACAGCCGAGTCCGAGTCAAGGCCGAGTCTTTGAAGGGTCGAGTCCAAGTTGAGACCGAGTCCGTTGGTTTTCAGAGACCGTCGAGTCCGAGTCAAGACCAAGTCTTTGAAGGGTCGAGTCCGAGTCGAGACAGAGTCCGTTGTTTTTCAGAGACAGTCGAGTCCGAGTCAAGGCCGAGTCTTTGAAGGGTCGAGTCCGAGTTGAGACCGAGTCCATTGTTTTTCGGATACAGCCGAGTCCGAGTCAAGGCCGAGTCTTTGAAGGGTCGAGTCCGAGTCGAGACAGAGTCCGTTGGTTTTCAGAGACAGTCGAGTCCGAGTCAAGACCAAGTCTTTGAAGGGTCGAGTCCGAGTCGAGACAGAGTCCGTTGTTTTTCAGAGACAGTCGAGTCCGAGTCAAGGCGAGTCTTTGAAGGGTCGAGTCCGAGTTGAGACCGAGTCCGTTGTTTTTCAGATACAGTCGAGTCCGAGTCAAGACCAAGTCTTTGAAGGGTCGAGTCCGAGTCGAGACCGAGTCCGTTGTTTTTCAGATCAGTCGAGTCCGAGTCAAGGCCGAGTCTTTGAAGGGTCGAGTCCAAGTTGAGACCGAGTCCGTTGGTTTTCAGAGACCGTCGAGTCCGAGTCAAGACCAAGTCTTTGAAGGGTCGAGTCCGAGTCGAGACAGAGTCCGTTGTTTTTCAGAGACAGTCGAGTCCGAGTCAAGGCCGAGTCTTTGAAGGGTCGAGTCCGAGTTGAGACCGAGTCCATTGTTTTTCGGATACAGCCGAGTCCGAGTCAAGGCCGAGTCTTTGAAGGGTCGAGTCCGAGTCGAGACAGAGTCCGTAGTTTTTCAGATACAGCCGAGTCCGAGTCAAGGCCGAGTCTTTGAAGGGTCGAGTCCGAAGTTGAGACCGAGTCCGTTGGTTTTCAGAGACCGTCGAGTCCGAGTCAAGACCGAGTCTTTGAAGGGTCGAGTCCGAGTCGAGACAGAGTCCGTTGTTTTTCAGAGACAGTCGAGTCCGAGTCAAGGCCGAGTCTTTGAAGGGTCGAGTCCGAGTTGAGACCGAGTCCGTTGTTTTTCGGATACAGCCGAGTCCGAGTCAAGGCCGAGTCTTTGAAGGGTCGAGTCCGAGTCGAGACAGAGTCCGTTGGTTTTCAGAGACAGTCGAGTCCGAGTCAAGACCAAGTCTTTGAAGGGTCGAGTCCGAGTCGAGACAGAGTCCGTTGTTTTTCAGAGACAGTCGAGTCCGAGTCAAGGCCGAGTCTTTGAAGGGTCGAGTCCGAGTTGAGACCGAGTCCGTTGTTTTTCAGATACAGTCGAGTCCGAGTCAAGACCAAGTCTTTGAAGGGTCGAGTCCGAGTCGAGACCGAGTCCGTTGTTTTTCAGATACAGTCGAGTCCGAGTCAAGGCCGAGTCTTTGAAGGGTCGAGTCCGAGTCAAGACCGAGTCCGTTGGTTTTCAGATACGAGTCCAAGTCAAGACCGAGTCTTTGAAGGGTCGAGTCTTTGAGGAAGCAAGTCCTCGAGAGATTTTAATTTTGAGATTTTGTCCCAACTTATCAGTTTTAATATTCATGATTAGTTAATAATCAACAGTTAGGCCTAAAGACTTAGTTAGATTGGGAATTGTTTAGAGCAGTCGTCTTAACGTCGTAAAGGGATAGTTCACTTTGAAATGAATTTTTGGTATGTTTTAGCTTATCTCAAGGGCATCGAAGATGTAGGCGTCTTTGTTTCTGCAGTAGTTTCAATTTTGATATTTTTAGGTCAAACCGTTCTTGTCTGTCAGTCATATAATGCAGGTGTATGGTCCCCAACGGTTTGGTGTTCTGAAAGGTGAATTTGATGATGGCAGACTCGTTGCTCATCTTGCTGCCACTTACACCAGGCAGCAACTGAAGACACTGATGGGTCTGATGGCAGTATCTTTGCATTGCACCATGGGATGTCATTTTCAAATAATGCCTGTCAACATTGCATTTTATTATTATTGTTATGTGTTTTTTTTTTTTTATATGAACATAAAAAATGCGCTGGAAAAAAAATCTTGAGGACTCAGTCTGAAAATCTTTGAAGTCCGAGAAATCGGTCGAGACACGGTGAGGAGTGGGGGGTCCACTGGGATTTTGCCCGGCGGATAGACTCTTGCTGAGATCATCGATCTCCCAAAGTGTCAAGTAGCGGCTGGTTAACAGCCGAGGGGACTCCAGCTTTCCGGAGAAAGAAGAGTCGCGGTCATGCGAAAACAGGAACCTCCTATACAGTAAATGCCTAATGTTGAACGTGATTGACTGAAAGGGAACCACAGATTTCACATGTGCTGGTCACTCTCTGACCTTTATTTCTGAAGAAATATGGCTGTACCTAGCATACAAGTAAAAGCCATTCTGTGTGTTGGAAAACCTCTTAATATTTCAGGATGGCAGCTCTATCAGTAAATCAGTAGCACACACTCGCACTCCATTAACCTGTGTGACAACTGAAGGTGAGGCCATGTCAGGTCAGGCAGAGTTATGGTAATAGAACTGGGCTTTTTACTGGGAGTTTGTAGACAGAAGCCACAGATAAATTTACAGTGTGTTAGTGCACTGGTGGTGTGGAAAACAATGACATTTTGTGAATGTGATGTTCTTTTTTTATTGCCTAAACCGACATATGGGGAGATGTGTGGATAGCATTTTTGTGGCTTTGCAATCAGGAAAAAAAAAAAAAAACTTGTAAAATTGCAATGTTATTTATATAAAATGCATTAGTGAATAGTTTGTAATAATGGGAGTTTCTTCAACTATGAATGCTTTTGTCCTTATTAAAGTACACTTTAGCATACGTTTAAAGTTTATTACAGAAATAATATACTTTAAAAGAATATACTTTTTGACCCACGTAGGACTTAAGTACATATTTATATGCAATTTAATACTTTCTTGTGTTTGAAATATGGATAGTGTACTGACAAGCATTTTTCATGTATTTAAATATATTTGTAATTTCAAATATTTGAATGATGCAATTATAATTTACTACATTAAAATATATTTACTTTTAAAAGGGGCAGTACGTGATTTCTGAGAAATGCTGTTGGAAATTTAAATCAACATTTAAACAAATACTTTTGCCAGTGTTTGCTAAATGTCGGTTCTATGTGTGTGAGTGTGTTCAAGAAATATTGTGTTTGTACTTTGTACATAGTCCTGGCTATGTAAACAGGAGAGAAAAACGATCCACGGATCACCAAAACACTCTTGCAAGCAACACAGAGGTTGCTTTGTTTTTGCTCAATACCTGATTAACATTGATTTTTGCTATGTTTCACAGAACCAAGATTTGCTGTCTTAGTTGAATTGCAGCTGATTCATCCACACTTGCGCCAGCTGTCTGATGTGGTCAGTCATTGTCAGTGTTGCATATCGTACAATGAAGGAAGGGGTGTATTTCTTTTTTTTTTTTTTGTTAGGGTGTTGATTTCAAATATCCAACAGTCTTTCTCAAAAATCGCTTACTGCTCTTTTACTGCTGGCCGCATTGAGTTCTCTTTCATACTTGAACGGACAAAAACACTCAAAAGAATGCCCTCGTAAGCACAGATGACGAGCCACCCGTCATGTGTGGCAGGTCTTAAAAAGCATATTGCAGGTAAAAAAAAAAAAATCGAAATTTATAGATAACCTTGTATGAAAATACCATATGAAAAGTTAATGCAGGATTTAAAATGTTTTAAAACAACATAAGGGGACTAATTTAGAAGATAAAGTGAGCATTTCTTGGACTGGTAGTAAAAACGGCTTTTTTTTTAACGTCGCGTCATTTGACGTCATATCAGGGAGCCGCAGGCTGGTGTTCAGTGAGAGCCCTCGTCAGTCAGTGTGCTTTCGTTAGTTTTTGCATTTTAATTTATCATCGTCATGGTAAATTATTGTGTTTATGGAGATTGCAAAAAATCCAGCCTGTCAGGACTTCAAGATCAAGTCCACAAGTTTCCATTACAATAAAAGTGACGGTGCTATATAGCCTATCTTTCGTTCCTGGTGCGGTTTGAGCAGGTGAAGAGACGGGATTTCTCTTCTGCATCGGCTCGGAAAACGCGGTCGTGTATAGCGTTCACTTCAGATCAAATGATTTGCATCCCGGCGATATGATGGAGTTCAACATGGTATGCCGAAGCAAGAATATTGATCGTCGTATACTACCAATATGGCACCAAATGGTGTTATATAGGTAACTTAGTCATGTCATGCCCTAAATAGGACTTGTAATTGAAAAACAAAATTGGTTGTTTAAATACTCAAATCTTTAATGTTCTGTTTATGTTATAACCTAGGTGAAAAATATGTATTAAAAATTTACCTGAGTATAGCCTATGCTTTTAGTATAGAAATATACTCAAGTAAAGTTTTTATACATTTAATAGTATATAAATCTACCCTAAACATACTAATGTCTGCTGGCCTGTTACAGGATCATAATAATCTGTACAATATTGTGAGCACAATGTATACCGTTAGCGAACGTGTGTAGCCTATAAGCACGTCTCTCACCTAAAAGGCACCTGTCCTGTTCTCCACTGGTTCTCCTCACATCACAGCTCAATTTTTCTCTGACCGTTCTGTCTGACATTATCCTGGCCTGTCCCTGATCTCTGTAGCATAGCAGGCTCATAACTTTATGGCTTGATCATACGAGTATTTCCTCAGCGTCCGAAATGTCATGCGATCCATTGTTTTCCTGTTGTGTGAATCGACGGCTCTCCCGCTCATTGCGTCACGCCCGCCACGCCCATTTTCAGACGCGGAAGTAAAATTTTCTCACAAAAACGACTGCAGAAGCTTCTGTAGCGTGTTTATACGTATATTTTAAAGAAAATCTAGTTCCTACATTGTTTTTCTATGCATTGACTCGTTGGGTCCTCTAACCTGCAATATGCCCTTTAAAGTGACAGCAGCCTAATAAACTTGCTGTCAATCAAAGAACAAAAGACAGAAAATCACTCACTGCTCTTGACTGAATAACTTTTGTAGTTTTAATAAGGATAAATCTATTTTTATTTTATAATTTATGCAGTGTAGACTGATAACTTTATATTATTATTCTACATTTGGAGATTAACTGTGAAATTATTACAATATAGAAATATATTAAATATTTGTTAGGTGTGATTAATCGCTGCATCAGAGGTGTATATGTGTGTGTGAACTGTACCCCTGTGACAAAATGTCCCCACAAAGATGACAATATCCAGAATATTTGTCCTCGTAGGGAAATTCCAAGAGGAAATCGGCTTATAAATCAAACTAAATGCAGAATGTTTCCTGTGATGGTTTAGGGATAAGGGAGAGAATATACACTTTGTACAGTATAAAAATCATTATGTTGATCCCAACACGTGTGTGTGTGTGTGTGTGTGTGTGTGGGTTGTACCCCTGTGCATGCCTATGTGTGGACATATGCATGTTTCAGGCCTGGCGTGATCACCATGCAGGCGCTGTCAGAAGAAGACCGCAGACTCTGGATGGAAGCCATGGACGGAAGAGAACCGGTACTCTATCTGAGAGATCATAAATTTGTTTCGCTTTCAAATCTGATAGGCTTAATCTTAAGAGTGTTTCACATGCCTGGCACTGCTGTGCATCAGATAAAGTGAGTTCTCGTTTTGAATGCATATTCATGAGACTCGTTGTGCCTCATAAATATGCATGTTAAGGCCTTTAGCCTGTGTTCTTTTTTTTATCTAAATTCCCATAAATTGGTTTAGTTAAATATTTGCTTCATAATTAAATCTGCAGTGTATTGTAAGATGTTTTAGGCTCTGTCTTAAAACCTAGTGAGCTGCCTTGCTTGTCTGTTGCCTACATAGACGGCTAACTTGATTGGAAACAGAATCAGTGACTGATGAAACACTCTTTAGGCAACATCTCAAATAGTGCTCATCACATTAGAAATAGTGCACAGGACAAATTGATTTGAATAGTTAGCTGTTAGCATGCTGCTTAGCTAATCAGCATAAAAATTCGTAGACCGCACAAATATTTGGTAAAATAGTTTATATATTATTTGGTTTTGAATCAATTATACATTTATAATCCATTTTATCCAGTAGTCCACCATGCCTATGAAGGCAGCTCACTAGGTTTCGAAACAATAACGTGCTAGCATAATAGCATGCAGATAGCATGCTAGCATGAAGCCTGATTTCAAAAGCACTAAGCAAAAAGATTATACATAAATAGTGCAAATGAGGCGTCTGCATTGTGTGCGAAGATGGCTTGACTGCTAAAACTACATTGTACTGGTTAATTAGGAGATGATTTTCTGTGTTAACAGCCACAATCTTAACCACAATGTCTTCTCACAGGTGTACACCCTCAATCGGGATAGCCAAAATGAAGCCAGTAAGTGAGGAGCCAGTTTAGTCATCTCAATTTGAAAATCATAATTCAGTTGAATCACAGAATTGCACACTTTTCATGAACACTTGTATGTTTTGTATTACTGTTGGTTTTTACCATTAACTTGTTCTGATTTCTTTGTCCCAATGTACTTTCTATTCAAGTGGCCCAATTAGATGTCATCGGCTTCAACATTGTCACAAAATTCATCTATGCCGTAGAAACCAGAGGTACACCCTGATATATTGTTTTGTTTTTTATTTTTGTTGAGAAATAAAGGTCAGAATGGTGAACAGAACATGATTAAAGCCAAGTCCGAAATCACTTACTCTCTTGAGTTGGTTCTTATTTTGAATAAGTAATTACTTCACGACCGCTAAAAAAGTACGATTGAGTGTAGTATGAATGTAATCCAGCCATATTACATGTACAATGATGTCATTATCATGATGTGACCTACCAGCGTCAGTTACGTCGCGTCACTGCCATTCATAAATCCTCTCCTGTGGCCTCATGGGATAGTACAGTGTCCATCATAAGCACACTTCAGAATCTCACTGGAAAGAGTTGGTACTTTTCGCCCACTCTTTTATGAGTACTGTGAATTCAGACTTGCTTAAGTATGCGATTTCAGAAGCAGCCTGTGTCTGACAACCTTTGGTTTCCTATAACAGGTATTGATGAACAGGGACTATACAGGATCGTCGGCGTCAACTCCAGAGTGCAGAAACTACTCGGCCTGGCCATGGGTGAGCATCAGCAATACATTCTTATAGACGTTACAGACGTCTGATTAGCCTGCTGTACACATGCGTATCCGCGTCTAAATCCAGATCTATACCTAAATATGTATATATGAAGAGTTCAGATGCAAAAGCCTCTAAGTGCCATTTGAAATTTTCTTCTAAAATGATCATTTTTATCAAGCTTGTATATTTAAGTTCAGTAATTTCACTTAAATGGCAATGAAGATTACCTATTAATTGTCATTTAAGTGTCATTTAACTTAAATATACAAGCTTGATAAAAATGGTCAATTTAGAAGAAAATTTCAAATGGCATTTAGAGGCTTTTGCATCTGAACTCTTCACATATTTTACCGGTTAAAATTTTTGAAACATTGCTATTTTTAATGTTTTGGAAAAAAAAGTCTCTTCTGCTCATCAAGCCTGCATTTATTTGATAAAAAAAATAATATAGTGAAAAAATATTGCAATTCAAAATGATGGTTTTCTATTTTAACATACTTTAAAATATAATTTATTTCTTTGATGCAAAGCTTATTTTTTCAGCTCATTACTCCAGTCTTCAGTGTCACATGATCCTTCAGAAATCATTCTAATATGCAGGTTTGATACTTAGTTATTAACAATGTTAGAAACATTGCTGCTTAATATAATTTTTTTTAATAACCTGTGATACTTTTTTTAGGATTCTTTTAATGAATAGAAATAAAAAGACCAGCATTTATTTAAAATTCAGAAATCTAGGCTCAGTCATTTATTTTCTTTCTTTTTTGAAAGAAATGAATTATTTTATTCTGCAAGGATGTGTTCAATTGATAAAAAGGGATATATATTGATTTATATTGTTAGAAACAAAATAATTCACACACATGCTTAGTGAATGAGACCCAATGTTGTCAAATTAGATAGATAGCATTGACCATGTTGTCTATTGGTACCATGGTATCTAGTTTTATTGCAACGCTCACTTTTAGTAGTTTTTTTAGACAGCTTTGTTTAATTGTAATGTGAGGCGTCTGGTTGTCACGTTGCGTCATTGATTTACACTGTAAACTGCTTGTTGATTATAATGGAATGTATCTAGGTTTGCCACATTCCAGTTTGCCACATGCAGACAGATTTATTGATTACAGTGTGCATTGCTCTTGTACAGACAGATCTGTTGACTACAACCGAAATGATCTTCTCTTTTTTTTGGGGATCGTTTGCATGGTAGACACATTTTCTTTTCTCAGTTCATCTTGTCAAATCAAATGAAAATTCGGATAAATTAAATCCTACGCAGCTTTGAATACCTTGACCTTGTTCTTTGCAACAATGTGGAAATCCATGCTCAAGTCCATCCCATATTACAGTATTCTTACTGTACTTTCAAAGAACATCTGCCTCATTTGTGTATAAAGCTTCACTTACCAATGTTGAGCGGAGGTAACCATAAGATGCTGTAATCCCTCCTCTAGACCCCAAAACCTGTGCAGATGTGGAGCTGGACAGCACAGAATGGGAGATCAAGACCATCACCAGTGCAATAAAGCACTACCTCAGGTACCAACCGTCCCATTCACACATGACCACTTGACCAGAGAGGCTTCAATCCAGTTATAACAGTATGCAGCACAACATGTGTTTTACCTACCTCGCTTTGACTAGCCACTGTAGTATTTCAAAAGATAGCTTGACTGCTAAAGCAAGCATATTTCTAGTAATATACAAATCCTTTATTTATATAGCGCTTTATCCAAAACAGATTGTTTCAAAGCAGCTTTACAGTGATAACTGGAAGTTGAGATTGTTTTGGCTGTACAGCAGCTCTAGAAGAAAGTTATTGTCCAGTTTAAGTACGTTTTTGATCGATTCATTTCTGTTGTAAAAATCATTAGTTATTAAAGGAGTAGTTCACTTTTCAAAAAACTGATAAGTTTGCTGATAATTTACTCACCCCGATGTCATCCAAGATGTCCATGTCTTTCTTTCTTCAGTCGAAAAGAAATTTTTGATAAACATTCCAGGATTTTTCTCCATATAATGGACTTCAATGGGAACCAAACGGTACAAGGTGCAAAAGACAGTTTCAGTGCAAACTGCAAACTGTTCAAAGGGCTTTAAATGATTCCAGACGATGAATAAGGGTCTTACGATCGCTCATCTAATAAATAAATAACAAAGTTTAAGTTTTATAAGCTCAAATGGTCGCCTTGCTCTGTTCAGTGATGCACGTTTGTGACTCTCCTTTCGAACTCGTTCATTAAAATGAATCAATCTTTTTCCGAGTCAGTTCATTCGTTTCGTTCGTTGAATGAACCAAAGGATTTGGAAAAAGATTTGTTTATTTTGATGAACGAGTTCGAACAGGAGAGTCACGAACATGCGTCACAGAACAGAGCAAGGCTAGCATTTGAGCTTATAAAACTTATTTTATTTATTAAATGAGCGATCGTTTCGCTTGATAAGACCTTTATTCATCGTCTGAAATCGTTTAAAGCCCTTTGAACAGTTTGCAGTTTACACTGAAACTGTCTTTTGGACCTTGAACCGTTTGGTTCCCATTGAAGTCCATTATATGGAGAAAAATGCTGGAATGTTTTCATCAAAAACGTTAATTTCTTTTCGACTGAAGAAAGAATGACATGGATATATCTTGGATGACATGGGGCTGAGTAAACTTCTCCTTTAACTTAGAGCTTACTCGACACCGCTTTCAGCGGAAAACAGAATGCGTTCTGGCCGTTCATTTACACGACTACGCCGTTTTGGTGGCCTGAGAAGAACGCAATCTCTGAAATATGTTTTTTTGAAAGCGATACCGTTATCATCTTCGTGTAAATTCTAAAAACGTGAATCTGTGAAAACGGCGTGTTTAGTTTATACCAAGACAGCAACATTGTGTCGGCCCAGATCCGGCCCACATCTGGTACGCGTTGAATCCAGATGTACCAGATGTGGCCCGGATCTGGGCCGACACAATGTTACTGTCTGGGTCGGCATGCGTGGGTATGTGTATGTACGCGGGGCATATAGTTTTTCTTTACAATTGACCCTTCGCAAAGACCTGCCCCCCTTAGTTACTGTCACTATGTTCGACAAGCTACGCCCCATCATGTTCTCACGCAGTGAAAAATAGATCGCGGAGGAGAGAGGAGACTGACGACACGCTGACAGACAGGACAGACCAGGTTACTTTTCGGTACTTTTTATATTAAACATATTTACAAAATCTCACCTTTCAAATTTCGTAATTTTTTAAAAATAAATTTAAACAATAAATACCGTTTTGTGGCTCTTTAATGTGTCGTGACAGATCGATGTAGAGCATCAGTCATCCGATCATCTCTTCCTTCTAGTTCATTTATAGCATCGAATAAACAAGAATGAACATAAGAAGGAATGTTGTTTTAACCACGGAGAGGCATCAATAGACTCAAGTTCAAATCCTCCCATGTTAATCTTCTATCTCTCCTGATTACCTGTCAGATTACCTGTCTGCACACGAAGGGTCAATTACTTGTCTGGCATTCATAATACAGCGTTTTTAATAGTTTCCGCTGAGTTATTAACTTAGGAACCATGCCAAACACCCTGGCAAATATAAAACAATCTGGCAACCACCCTCAACATGCTAGCACCGTGCCATCAAGTTTTGCACGGACAATTAACCCATTTATGTTAGAAAGTGTAACAAAAATATAGTCATTAATGTTGTAAGCGTAAGATGTTTTCTGACAACCCGTCTGATCATTCATATTATTCAACAGCATTGCTAATACACTACAAATCTCTCAGAAGTTAGTGAATAAGCAGTATATGACTTTAAAACCGGTCAAGGAAGACCTTCATGGCTTCAAACACGCCATGATGATTCCTTTTGTCTTAGAGTCTATTTGTCTGTTATCTTGTCTCTTCTTCTCTCTATCAGGATGCTGCCGGGCCCTCTCATGACATACCAGTACCAGAGGAACTTCATCAAAGCAGCCAGTGAGTCTCTCTCCATCTGTCGGCTTATTTACACTGATCTATTTCGATTTTCCGATAGTATTTGACTGCAGAGTGCTCAAGCTAGTAAGACTCCGTCCAAAGCAGGAAACCCTGTCTGAGACCTCGAGGGATGTGGTCCCTCCACAAGATCTTCATAAATTTTCATTTTCACTCTACAAAAAAGAAGCTTTAAGCACAAACTTTTATATTTTGTAAAATTTTTGCTTTATTTTCTTGATCAGTATTTTTTGTCTGAGACATTATTTTCTTGTCTTTTTTAGTGACGTTTATTCTTTAAAAAAATACATATATTTCTTAAATAATGTAATATACACATAATTAAATATTTGTATACTGTTTTATAAATAAATAAAGCTGTGGCCAATCTTCATATAAAGCAATGGTTGAGCTACCGAAATATATTAATGCACGACATACCCTCACTTTATATATTTACTGGGGAATATTATGCTGCGTTCATGTGTTATGGTAAATACCAAAAGCCGACGTGGAAAATGCACATGAACACCCCCTCATGTGGTATACTATTTTCCACTGGGCAACTCGTAGAATATTTTGATGGACGAGTTGCCGAGATGAGATAACCTTTGAACTTTTCAAAATGGCAGAGAGCACCGCAAGAGTCGTGAATGGTAAAAATATATATTATTCATGATCTAGAAAGAAATATATAGCATATTATTTACCTTTTGAGGTTTGATAAATCATTTTCTTGCTGTTGCAGATGACTTAAGCAATCTACAATAGTTTTAGCTAAATAACAGGTCTGGATCTCCATCTTTTTACCACATTACGACAACAAAAGCACTTGAACGCAACACACTGGTAAATACCAATTCACAAGTGCAAAAATATCCTACTTTCCTTTCCATAGCACGTGAACGCAGCATTAGTGTATGCAGCCAGACATAAATGAACCTTTGGTCTAATTACACATTGTTACCTATTCAACCGTTATCTGAAATTTGTTTTCATGATTGCCAAATGTAAATCGTTTTATCTATAAAAATAGTTTAGCCTATAACGCTAGTATAACGCTAGTGTATAGGGCATAGAGTAATGACAAATAACAATCGCTTGTTATTACCACTAACAAGGCTCAAAATAGCCCCACACTAACACGGTAGCATAATAAGGGTCCCTACATTCAAACCGAAGCATTGAGAACTTTGTCAGTGTCCATACAGTCAACTTCACAAATACAGGAAGAAGCCATCTTTGAAAGATAGTCTCTACCAGTCGATCTACGAACACCGATCCAAGTGCGCTGAACTGTGCAGAATCTCATATGGTCCGTTGTTTCCGGAAGAAACACAAACACGAACCATTTTCTTCTCTTCAATATGTACACGTAGCCTACTGTTCGCGCTCACCTTATCACCTTATTCACATCTCACCAGCGCACTTGGATCGGTGTTCGTAGATCGACTGGTAGAGACTATCTTTCAAAGATGGCTTCTTCCTGTATTCGCGAAGTTGACTGTGTGTATAAAACATCTTCTTATTAAACTGTATGGACACTGACAAAGTTCTCAATGCTTCGGTTTGAATGTAGGGACCCTTATTATGCTACTGTGTTAGTGTGGGGCTATTTTGAGCCTTGTTAGTGGTAATAACAAGCGATTTTTATTTGTCATTACTCTATGCCCTATATACTAGCGCTATACTAGCGTTATAGGCTAAACTGGTTTTAGAGATAAAACTATTTACATTCGGCAATCATGAAAACAAATCTCAGATAACGGTTGACTAGGTAACAATGTGTAATTAGACCAAAGGTTCATTTTGCGCCGGAGTTCTCCTTTAATATTCGAGTAATCTTCAGTCAGAAATTTCCCACTTCACCAACTTCGTTCAGTTTGATCTTTGCTTAAAACAACCGTTTGCTAAATGATCCCAATTATTTTATAAAATATTTAAATGGTTAATTACAATAATTTTTTTGGAACTACTGGTGGAAAATGATTTTTAATATATTAAATATTAAAGTATATAGTCTATGAAAAGCATTTTTAATGTAATTTTGCTAGTAAATGTATCTAGCTTTAAGGACATTTGAATATTTTGTTCAAGAAAACAAGACAAAAAAAAACCCCTGATTAACAAGATATTTTTTCTCCCACATTGTTTCTCATGCTATCTTCATTTCATTTCGGTTTGCTCTGTTTTCGTCTTTGTTTCAGTTGGTCTGTCTTTCTCTGCTTTTTTCCCAGCCCTTCAGGGTGACGTTAGGCCCTTATCCTCATATGAACTCGTCTTTTTCAGAGTGCTCCACCCCTCCCTTTCTGCCTTTCATATTCTCTCTTTTTTCCACCCCTCCCCTCGTTCATTCCTCTCTATGCGAGCCGTTTATGTGGTAAAGAGCAAGGTACCATCTGGAGTTTGCCCCTCGTCAGAGAGAGAGATGGGAATATGGGAGTGAGAGACGAATGTGAATGTGTATGTAACTGGAGAAGACTAAATCAAGAGAGAGAAGAAAGTGTGAAAATGTTTGTTTACAGTCTACTGGCTCAGTTTCTGTTCAGCACGATGAATACATGTCTGGTCTGGTTGTGTGCTATCTTTATAAAACTGGGACTTGCAGTTTAATATTCGCAAGAGATCATTTTCTTTATTGTGTGTGTGTGTGTGTGTGTGTGTAAAAAAAGTGGATTAGAATATATTTTTTGAAATTATTAACTAATAAAAAGCATTTTAACTAATAGGGAAGGAAGACATAAGGATTGGTTTTTTTACTGAAAAAAAAAATATTTTTGCTGCTTGTTCAGATTGCTTATTTAAAATGAGTTTAAGCAACACGAATGCTGTAATTTTGTCCAAACTTAATTTGATTGTGTTCAATCTGCTTAAATATATGGAACATTTAAGTTTACGTAATCCGTTTGTGTTTGCTTACATGATTGATTTGTGTCGCATTAACTGAAACTGGGCGGTGCTTGTTGGTTCCCAGCATGCTTTGCATATGGTTGAATTAAGAGAGAATACATGTTAAAATGAAGTTTTATTTTATGTGTTTTTAAGAAAATGAAAAAAGGTGAAGACTTGGTAGTGTGTAATTGTGTTTAAAGTTCAATTACATTGCGATTATTGAACCATTTAAATTACAGTGGGTTACCATTGTGGAGAAGAGTGGATGTAGCAAATAAATTTTATTGTTTAAGATGTTAAAAAGTGATATTGGTAGAAATTGATTAGTGTGTGACACTAAAATAAATTATATTCTATTGGATGAATGAGTACATGAGTTTGAATACCTGAATCATATCATGGAGCCTTTTTAAATTCACTGACACTATTAAATTTGGCTGTGCCCAACCATAGTAAATAAGTTGAATCAACCTTAATGAATTAAGTTGACCCAACGTAAGTACATTAAATTAGAATAACATAATCGCATAATGCTGAAATAAAGCAAGTTAATCATGTGTAAATCCTTTCCATGATTTTTTTTTATGTTCATTCAAAGAGTTATTCTAAAAGGGTAACTTTTATATTACATCAGAAGAACATATCACATAACGATACAATATAAATGATCAAAAAAGAAAGAAAAGGAGGGGGAAAGAACAAAATAATCATAGATGTACGGTATTAAAATGTACAAGTTCTAATAATAGCTTTTTTATACTATTTTATCAATAAATAAAGCAGGCATTGTTTGTTCGAATCCAGGTTGCTGCATTTTTTTTTTTTTTTTTAAAGCAATGAATGTGAGGCTACAGAAATAAAATAATCCAGAATATATTTTTCTCCCTTGTTATGTCATTTATATAGTCTTGTTACTGGGGATTATTAGGACATCAAGGCAGCTGGGTAGATTACTCTAATATTTCAGTGACCTTTAAGAGCCGCGTCTGGTGGCTTATCCTTGCCCTTAAACACTGCTGCAGCCGTCACATGCACTAGGTGGCACAGTTTCTGTGCTTTTACATCCAAACAGACACACACACACACACACACACACAATCATTAATATCATTTTAATTGGAATAATGTGTCTGCATTGGAAGCAACAGATGCAAATTTTCAGCCCTGAAATCTGTCAGTGAATGTGAAAGTATACATTAAGACTTGCTTGGCTGAAGTGTAGTTAAATACAACAGTACGGCGCTAACAGTTCATGCGTAACAAAAGGAAATGTGCTTGTTTTCCTTTGCAAACCCCTCACTCTCTCGCTTCCTCTTTTCTCGGTCTTCCTAGAACTTGACAATCCCGAGGCGAGGGTGGCCGAGATCCACTCCATAGTGCACCGTCTCCCGGAGAAGAACCGCCAGATGTTGGAGCTTCTCATGAAACACTTGGCCAAGTGAGTTTTGGGGTTGACGCCCCTTTTTATACGGCAATACAAATCCAACAGAGCCAAAGACCTTAGAGGATTGCCGTTGTAAAAAGCTCAGGCATGCTGATGGCAATAAAGGCCTCAACTTCCCCTTTGTGTTTGTCCTGCTGAAAAGAGCGGCTTGTTTTCCTCCACCTGTCCTTTCGTCAGTCTCCTTCCCTCCTGTGCCCGGCTCCGTTTTCTTTTGTGCGAGTCTAATTTGACACCCTGATTGCTGAGCTCTGCAGAGCCCTTTCTCACTAATGCTGTCAGGTTTGGGAGTTTTACAGAAAACTTCTAAGCGAAATTCCTTTTTGAAAGATCAGATTCATAATCCGTAAGAATTTTGGGATGCAGAATTTGAGTATACCCTATTTATTTATTTGCATAGGCTTTATCGCTGCTCCTCGTCGATTGGAAATTATCTTGTCATGTGGAATTTTAATAAATATCTTCACCTCAGAATACCAGTGAACACAATAGTCAGTGTGCATAGGATTCATTTGGATTTTTATTTTTTTATTTTTTTACCTTGGGTTCAGTTTTTACATCATTTACAGACTGTTGAGTTTGCTCATCAAATTCACACACACACATACTCGGTTTCGCTATCTTTGTGGGGACTCTCCATAGGCGTAATGGTTTTTAAACTGTATCTTCTATCCTCTTACACTAACACAACCCCTAAACCTACCCATCACACTCAACTTTCAGAATTTTTACATTTTCAAATAATATTTATTAATACATTCTCCTCCTCGGGACCGCTGGCTGATCTCCACAATGTAGGTGATCTTTGGTTTTACTATTTTACTTGTGGGTACATTTGGTACAAATGAATAAACCTTTGCACGCACACACACACATACAAGACCATTGACTTCACACAGTTTGTCTTGGCTTTTACCCAATATTTCTTTAACCCTATAAAGCCTTTTTAAATATGCAAATTTCCAAGTCCTCTAAATTATTAATTGACCAGCTTAGGTTTACTTGATTATCTATACATCACCATAAAAAAAAAATCTTTAAAATGAGACTATCAAAAATAGTTTTTGAGGAAAGCTTGTTCATATCTCAAAATGACAGAGCTTTGATAATAAAACTAAGCATTTAAATATCATCTTACTAAGACATATTATTGAGATATATTGCTTATATGCATTTTATTAAAGTAGTCTACTATACTGTTCTAAAGATTAATTGATTTACATTGCAAGCTGTAAGAATTGCATCATACTTTTTGGCCATAAATATCAGCAACTGCGCCAAATTGCATTTTTAATTCTCATTTTGTCCCACTGAATAAAACTGAGGTGTTATGTGATGTGTTTTTTTTTTTCCTTTGTGTTTTGTCACAGTTCAGGCCTTGTCCACACGGACACGGGTATTTTTATTACCGGAGTTCCCTTTTCGTAGTCACTCCGAGTTACATCAGATGACGAGAATGGGGTTTCGCTTAGAAAGCCCATCATCTTCGAGTGTTATAAAACTAGCCAATGGCGATGAAATGCCATGCTTCACCGACCTTGCTCTACAAGCGACGAAGGTGACCACACGCTCCCCGAGTCAGGTGATGTCCACGTGTGGTCAGACATCTCTCGCTTAACTAGGTTGATGTGCGTGAGGCTGAGTGAACCAGTTTCCTCAACTTCCCCAAATCCCAGGCTGGCCTCTTCGGCGGTGCGGTCGAGGAATCTGCCCAACAGTTCTTGGCCGCTTAGAAGTAGACTGTGGCTATTTTGTCTGACCTCGCGGCCATCTGCTGCCAACCAATCTGTTGCCGTCGAATGCACCCTCCTGTGACTTCCGCCCTCCCCGCCCAGCCCCAGCAGCACCGGGCCGTGCCATGGAGGTGGTCGCAGGAAGGGCGCCCCTGCCCATACCAGCCCAGCTGAATGCCAGGCTATGCGGCGCTCCCGTTACGGCAGCTCAGATGTGGGTTGCAGTTCTTTCAGGGAGTGGTTGCAGGGCCACTCCTTTCCCCGATGGAGGGCTGGGGGAGAATCTTTTCTCCAAAGATCTGCATTCCATTTCTGAGCCCCCAGAGACAGATGACAGTGTGCGACGCCCCCAGGCCTCGCCGCTCTCTTCCCCCTCTGTCCCAGAGGGCGCAGATGACAGTGTGTGCCATCTTCGGATCCCACCATCTTTCGTCCCCCCTCTGTCGCCAGACCCCTGGCAGAGCAGACCCCGTGGAGCGCTGGTCCTTCCCTGGTCTCCTCTGTCAGGATGTGGAGCATGAGTGCAGCCCCGCACCAGGCCGCTATGCCACCCATGCCTGGGGTGGTTACTCCACTTCGCTGCCCCTCCGAGGGGACGTCTGTGGTTCACATGACCCTGCTAGTTCAGTTTTTGGGAAGCTTGTTTAGAGCCCATCATGAGAGCGGAGGTTGCCACCCTGCTGGCGAAGGGTGCAATCAAGACTGTCCCTACAACCGAGATGAAGTCAGGGTTTTACAGCCCATACTTCATTGCCCCCAAGAAAACCGGTGGGTTACGGCCAATCCTGGACCTGTGCGTCCTGAACCGCTCGCTTCAGACTGCCGTTCAAGATGCTCACGGCCGAACACATTTTCGAATGTGTTCGGCCCCAGGATTGGTTTGCAGCAATAGACTTGAAGGCCGCCTACTTCCATGTCTCCATTTTACCTCGACACAGACCTTTCCTCGGTTTGCTTTCAAGGGGCAGGCGGTTCTCCCATTCGGGTTGGCTCTGTCTCCTCCCGTCTTCACTAAGATTATCGAGGCAGCCCTTGTTCCCCTACACAAACACGGGGTTCGCATCCTGAATTATCTTGACGACTAGCTAATATTAGCTCACTCGAGATAGACCTAGTGCTTCTGCATCTATCCCGTCTGGGCCTTCGGGTCAACTGGGAGAAGAGCAAACTCTGCCCTGTGCAGAGGATCTCTTTTCTCGTTGTGGAGATCGGCTCGGTCGCCATTTCCGCACAGCTTACGAGCGAGCACGCACACTCACTGCTGACTTGTCTTCGACAAATTATTCAGAGGTTCCTGGGGCATATGACATCTGCAGCAGCGGGAAAGCCACTCGGATTGCTTCATATGAGACCGCTTCAGCTGTGGCTTCGCGATCAAGTCCCATTGTGGCACGCTCCGAGTTCCAGTCCTCCACACTCCGACCTGACGTCAGACCTTCACTCCACGGACTGGATACGTCTGATATTCTCCTCAGGTGAGCCTTGCTCTCTGAAGCCCTGAGTTCCTCCAGCACTGTTGACGCTGGCGCCAGTGTCTATTGCCTGCACGTCGGCTAGGTGCCTCCGTGTGCATGGTTTCTCCTCTGAGCAACCCCCACATGTGTGTTTCCCCTGTAAGCCTCCTTGAGCATGTGTCTTTCCTTCAGCAAGCCACCTTGCCCCTCCTGGTGTTGAAAGTTTCCACCCCAGGGGCTGGTTACTCCAGTGTTCCTCCATATGAATCCCCCCCATTGGACCATATGTGTATTCCTAAGTCCTCCCTACGGGTAGGCATGCTGCGGCATATTTCCTCTGATATGCTGTATGCTCCCAGTGTACCTTGGTATTCCTACGTTAAGTAGGACTCCTTCGGCCATGCCAAATTCAAGACAGGGGGATCAGACTTTCGCAGGGCAATGGAAGACAGCTGTGAAGGTGGCGTGATTATACGAGGACCCAGTTCTCGTCATCCGACGTAACTCGGAGTGACTACAAACGGGAACGTCTCGGTTATGTATGTAACCCTCGTTCCCTGAGTAAGGAACGGACACGTTACGTCTCCCTGCCACTGCCGCTGTACCGCTGGGTAGACGCCTGAGTTCAGTCTCGGATCCTCAGCGAAGACATGACTGCCTTGAGTCTGCATTCTCCTTAAATACCCAAGCGGTGGGGCAGAGATACGCTATGCAAATTCCGCAGCCCCATGGCATTTAATCGCCATTGGCTCGTTTTTTAATACTCAAAGATGATAGGCTTTCTAAGCGAAACCCCATTCTCGTCAGGGAACGAGGGTTACATACTTAACCGAGACGTTTGTCCTCCTGCGTTTATAACAGGAGAAAATCCACATGAAAATGCAAAAACACGCTATCAAGTGCTATCTAGAGAATGCCACACCAGCAGGCGGCCATATAACCCTAACTGAAAAGCCACCTTGGCCAATCAGAAGCCTAACAAAAAGTTCTTGCAGGTTCCGGTAAGCGGATAACGGCGCAGTGCGGGCGCACACTCTAACGTCGCAACCTGTTTTACTGTCTACACGACAGAACTGTAACTGGCGTTTCTGAAAATCCTGAAAAAAAAAAAAAAATTATTTTATTGTTTAGTTAAAGCAGCCCTATGTTTTTTTCCCTGTAAATAAAGATAATATAGAGAAAAGCACTACACTATAATAATGAGATGTTACTCTCTCCACAGAGTGGCCAGTCACCACCAGCAGAATCTGATGACGGTCGCTAACCTAGGCGTAGTGTTCGGCCCTACACTTCTGAGGCCTCAGGAGGAGACCGTCGCAGCGATCATGGACATCAAGTTCCAGAATATTGTGGTAGAAATCCTGATTGAGAACCATGAACGGGTATGTTTTTTTTTTTATTCCCAGCTTATAATTTTGAGTTCCCAGAACATTCTGTAAACGTTAGTTTCTGGTTCCCAGAACAGATAGAACTAATGTTCTCTGTTGGTTAGCCAGGAAAGTTTTCTTCACGTAAATATAAAGTTCCCCTAACCAGACAATTTTGACTTTATAACACACAATTGCGAGTTTATATTTTGCAATCCTGACATCTTTTGATTGAAGTTGTGAGTTATAAACTCGCAGCTGCAAGTTATAAAGTCCAATTCTAAAGGGAAAAAAACTCAGGACTAAGAATTGCAAATAAAAGTTTATATCTCACAAGTCTGATTTTATAACACACAATTGCAACATCATAACACGATAAAAAGTCAGAATTGCAAGATTATTCACAATTGTGAGGTAAAAAGGTCGCAATTACCTTACCATTACCATTTTTTTTTATTCTGAGGCGGAAACAAGCTTCCATAATTATTTTACTTCAAATAGGATAACGTTACATAATATCTTACTTCTGAATTGAGCAGTTTATCTGAACATACTTCTTTTTTCTTTTTAGGTCAGTAAACATAATTTTCTCTTCAAATCTCTCTGAAATCTCTATTTACTCTCGTATGCATGTATATGGATGTTAATTAATAGTAATTATTCAATAAAGTCACTCGGCTTTCTGTGAAAGACAAATGGCTTAATATTTTTAGCAATGAAATTGTATTATCTGATCATTATAATGCGTTTACCTGATCTAATTTCCACTCTTTATCAAAAGCTGTATTCAACTAATTTCAGACATGTAATTCTGCAATATATAGTTTATGGTTATGAAAAATTAAACATATCAGCATTAGAATAATCTCTGTATTGGTCATTACTCAAGTTTACATAGCAGGGAGGTTCTAAAGAGATGTATACCTATGTTCTGGGAGTTATAAAAAAAATAAAAACCTACAGAGAACGTTGGGAAGCCCTAAAAAAAAAGCCCAAATGGGAACCACATGGGAATATTGGGTTTAAAGTTCTGTGTTTACTGGGTTTCTTGTAAGATATGGATGCTAGCTGACTAGAATAGCCAGTCATATTCTATGAAACCTGTGTTAAGTTTCTTTCTTCTGAACCTTTAGTGATGATCTGCACAGCTAATGATTTAAATGGCTCATTAGATTGATTTTATCAATTTGTCACCGTATTCACCCTAAAGGTGCTCACACCAAAGTGTGAAAGAAGGATTTACTAAAGGAGACAGCACTTTTTAATGGAAACACTCAGACCATGTTTGCTGTAACAGGTAACTTCAAAGCCAACAGGAGCTTAAGGGTAAATCAGCTTAGAGTAGTTACCATGGCAACATGCAAATCGGCTCATGGCTGATTCCTCAAGCTGACCCCACAGTCACATGACACAGAGCCACTCCCCCCTCCCTGAAGGGGTGAAGTAGCCTGGGTAAGTTTTAAGATCAAGGCTGTCACCACGTCCTGTGCACTTAACCTTACCAATGTCTCGTCCCCGTAAAGACATGGCATGTGCTTTATGTGACTCTGTGAATTATGTTAAAGGAGTAGTTCACTTTTAAAAAAAACTTTTGCTGATAATTTACTCACCCCCTCACACCCCAAGATGTCCATGTCTTTCTTTCTTCAGTCGAAAAGAAATTAAGGTTTTTGTTGAAAACATTCCAGGATTTTCTTCATATAATGGACTTCAATGGGAACTAAATGTTTCAAGGTCCAAATGAGAGTTTCAGTGCAGCTTCAAAGGGCTTTAAACGACACCAGACGATGAATAAGGGTCTTATCGAGGACTCTTCGTATTATGACTCGAAAAAAAGATTTGTTCATTTTGATGAACGAGTTTGAACAGGAGAGTCACGAACGCTCATCACAGAACAGAGCAATGTGAGCATTTGTGCTTATAAAACTTAATTTTTTAAAATTTATTTTCGAAATGAGCGATCGCTTCGCTTGATAATACCCTTATTCATTGCCTGGTGTCGTCTAAAGCCCTTTGAAGCTGCACTGAAACTTGGACCTTGAACCATTTGGTTCCCAGTGAAGTCCATTATATGGAGAAAATCCTGGAATGTTTTCATCAAAAACCAGACAGTTTCTGGTCTCATTGACTTCCATAGTATATTTTTTTTCCTACAATGAAGTCAATGAGACCAGAAACGGTCTGGTTACTGATATTCATCTAAATATCAGAAAATCGGCTGAATGCATTGGAAAACGGTAAAACTCAACTGTTTAAACTCTGGGGGAGTTGTAAAATGAGCCAATTTCCAAAAAAAAGTGGAGTATCCCTTTAACATTAAAAAGGTACTTTTTTATCACATGTCACAGTGTTGCGTCTGGTTAGGACATGTTGTTAGCATGAACTGTCCCTTTAAGCACACTAAATGTCATTTTAATCAAACAAATGAACCAATAAAATGCATTAAGAAAATAGACAGAGGGATTTTACATTTTATGCTGGCCTCAGTGAATGCATACAAGGAAAAAGAACAGTTTGGGCATTCTGTAAAATGATAATAATAATAATAATTCATCACATTTATATAGCGCCTTTCTGGACACTCAAAGCGCTTCACATAGAGGGGGGGATCTCCCCAACCTCCTCAACATTCATATGACTGTGGAACAACATAAGATTGAGTAAAAAGATGGCAAAATATAATTTGTTTGGTGCTATTAACTATTAAAAATCCATTTAAATGAATGGATGACACAAAATGAATGAAGCTCACAAGTTCATGCAAAGAGTCTATTACGTGTTTGTAAATTAAACACTCAGGTTCATATTACAGTCAGTTTACTGTTTGTTTCCTGTGTGCATAACTGTGTAGATATGCTGACAGATATAGGGTAGGTAGTCTATAATGCTTGAAAGGATTCATTTTCATTTTAAAGGAGTAGTTCACTTTTAAAAAAAACTTCTGCTGATAATTTACTCACCCCATGTCATCCAAGATGTCCACGTCTTTCTTTCTTCAGTCGAAAAGAAATTAAGGTTACTGATATTCTTCTAAATATCAAAAAAATCACCTGAATACATTTGAAAACAGTAAAACCCAACTGTTTAACTCCAAAAAAAGTGGAGTATCCCTTTAATCAGTGTTTTTGTTCCAACTAGCCGCGGCATTGACACGAGCTTCTGTTTTAGAAACGGCTTCTATTTTTCTGTGACGTCGCGACAACACAAAGTATGATAATCGCAGAGACTGTTTGTGCTTTATTTAATGTTACAGTTTTTCTCAATCGATTTGACATATTTCTCCAAACTTGGGTCACTTTTCTCAAAACAGTAATCTGAACACTGTAATTTTCCTGAACAGGTTGTACATTTTACTTAATTTCATGCACATGTATCACACTGTGCACAAACTTCTCTAATGTTTCCACAGTAGCTCATACAGCCAACCAAACTTTAATACAACAGGAAAAAACAATTTTTAATTGGTTTTACAAAAATCACAGTCACACACATTTGTGCCCCATTTTCCCAAACACAACAAACAAAACTCTGTTATTTGTTAAATTACTGTGAAGATTAGGCAAATTAGTCCGGTGACGTAGGACTGCTTGCTACATCCTCTGAATTTAAGCTTAATAAAGCCTGAACCTCGTCGGCAGCCCATTGGTCATATTTTTTAAACTCCATTGTTGATTCGAATAGCAAACAACTGCAACTGACTTCTAAAACCACCGTGGAAAGTTCCTGAAGTACTACCTTGTGAGCAGGGACTTTCTGAGGGGGGAATTTTTAACCAGAACTTCGTTTAGACACTTGTTTCTGTGGTCGAAACACACCAAAGTACCACCCTACACTCTAAAAAATGATGTGTTGGATTTACTTAAAATATATATGCACCATTTTTGCATCATACTTTTTAAGTAATCCCAACTTGGAATAATTTTACTTAAAATTAACAAGAAAATCTTTGTTATATGTACTTAATTATTTGAGTTCACGCAACATTCTTTACTTAAAAATGTATGCATCACGTTACATATATTTTTAAGTAAAGAATGTCACGTGAACTCAAATATTTAAGTTTATTTTATGTAAAATTATTCCAAGTTAAAAATTTACTTAATTAAATGATTACGGATTACTTAAAAAGTATGACACAAAAATGGTGCATATATCTTTTAAGTAAATCCAACACAGTGCAGGCCATGTGAGATCAAAACAAATCTTAGTTCTGTTTACTTAACATTTAAGCTCATTTATATATAAAAATAAGACAATTAAATCAGTTGAACCAACCATTTTAACTTATTTTAGATCTTCAGCTTACATGTCTTAAAATAAATTAAACATGCAAATCACACACAATAAAGCATTTCACTTTATTATTTATTTTTTACCCAAAACTTTTAAATTGCATCTTAAAATATATTAAAATAGAAAATAGCTGTTAAAATAATAATAATAATAATAATAATAATAGTCACAATATTACAGTTTTTTCTTGGATCAAAGAAATGAAGGCTTGGTGGGCAGAAGATATATAGGCCTATATTTATTTTTTTCAAAAATCAAAAAAAAACAATTAAATGTAACAAATTAGTCCATTATTAAATGCCTATAAATATAAAAATTAGTCTATTAATATCTATTAATTTAAACAAAATAGAAGTTAATTAATGACTTTTGTCCAGAGGTTTTGAACGAATCTCAGTAACTACTGGAAAACAGTAAAGATCTACAATCTTTATTTGAAGCTAAACTTTTGTTTAAAGGGTATTATTTACTTATTTTGATAATAATTTTGAAGGTTTAATTTACTGAATTGTCGCTGTCATTTAGGAATAATATTGTGCTAGAATCAAGATTGCCATTATTTAATGATAAATTGTGCACACGGAGCTGTAGGCAATGTGTTTTTGAATGTAATATTTATGTTAACGTTACCAAAAGTAGGCTAACCCGCGCCCAAAGCCCCCTTCCCCGCGATCCATGTATAGATAGAGAATATGGGAATTTGTAAATATGCAAGGTACATT